GGGATCGAATAGGTCCCGGGAGAGATTACTACATTACTCAAACACGCATGGATGACATATAAAACCTCTTTAGGCATGTTTTTGATGAGGGAACAGCATTAAAACTAGGGATGGGCATTCAATAAAATTTTCTTAATCAATCGTCGGGAGAATTAACGGTTGATTTTCGATTAATCATTCATGTTTTTATATTAAAATTATAATCATTATTATTACTATTATTAATCAGCATAAATAAACTCAACTTTACAACATATAAACCATAACCACTCTAGAGCCACATCAGCCAATTTGACATTTTAATGTGTTTAATGCAGCTTTGCGCAAGTCTTACAGAAACGAAACTTAAAACCGCATGGCTAATTTGCATAAACTAAGTGAAGAAAAAAACAGCTCTTGTGCGCTGATGCGGTTCAACTTCTGTTGGACTAAAGGACTCGGCTAGGGAATATACGTGTTCTTTCTGTGACAAAGGGATGTTGATGCTGAAGGTGAGTCTGTTCTTTGCATATGTTGCATTGGAGATGATTCATGTTTTCAAATATCAGACGTGTGCAGGTTTAGCACGTGCATGTATATGGGATACTGCATATGCATGCACCATGACAAAACCAGGATACTGATGTGCATGTAAATGCACTCATTGAGTGGTACAGTGATCTCAAAGGAGGTGTGCCAGAGCCGAAACATGGGACTGTGAGGCTGCAACTCCAGTGTTTGGCTGTCACACGCAGACTCATCTCCTTACGCTATGCTACACACAGCAACCTACATTCAGTTTGTTGATTAAAAATGAACATGATCGACGAAAGTCTTAATGATCATTATTGATTAATCGACTAATCATGCCCATCCCTAATCATAACATGGTAGAAAGCGCCAAGATATCAATTTTGCACCCACTCTTTAATATATCTAACCCCTAAGATCTTAACCTTAAGTACTGAAGACTGAATCATTCTTAATAAATAATTTGTTCATTATGAATTAAGACTTTGCGCATTCCTTATTCAGGCTAACAGTACAGTAATTATAAAGTTTAACTGTAAGCAACTCTCACAACCAAAAGAGCCACTGAACGAAGAGAACAGTGAGAGGAAAATGTGAATCGGCAAAACAATAACATTTTAAAATCAAATATTGAAAAACTGTGTTTCATTTCATAGACTAAACCATGTATATGTTGATTGAAATGCACTGTGCTGTATAACGTGTATTAATTTGAACATTCTGGTGATTATTCATTAAACTTGTTTATTGCAGGAAAAAGTAAGCAGTAAAAAAAGGTACTACTAATAAAAAAATACACAGAATAAGATACACAGACCCCAAAAGGCTCCGTGTTTCTTATTCTACTCTTCATTTCACTTCACTCAGCCCATCTGAATAATTTGTTAGAAAATGCTGCTGCCGTACAAGAATCCGAGTGCTACAACAGCGCACAGAAGAATGATAGTGTTTGAGTCAACAAATGAACAGAGAAATAATGTCCCTTTGCCCTGAATGTGGTTACCATAGAAACAGGCAGTGTCAAGTCAACAGCTGTCGTCAACATTAAAAAGATGAATGCTGTTTTTGTGGTTTGAAATTGGAAAAAAAAGCAAGCTATAAAAATGCGTTTAGAGCAATTACATGAAGGAACTCATCCAAAATTTTAACTTTGAACTATTTTAATTTAAGTTAGGCTCGAAGTTTGGACTTTGTTGCCATAGGAACAAGCAAGCTGTCAATCAAAGTAAGCAGTGAGGAGTCAGGTGCGCTGTAGACCTCTGTAATCTCTTAGAGTGGACTGAAATAGAAACAATGACACAAAGCAGAGCAACCCAGGTGTTTTCTCATAGTTTTGTCCACATTTCACGACCTTAACTGTCAAATAAATCCGAAAATAACCACACACACACACAAAAAAGAAATCAATTTAAAAATACTATCACAGAAATGTAAGCCGAGGTCTACGCTTGTGTATTGGCAAGATGCTCATATCTATTTTAAACTTTCACAAGATCCAATAAAAATGCATTGTGTATAAGAATAAATTGTTTTTTTGGAGAAAGACGGTAAGAAAGCAGCTAAAACAACTACATTTCAATAGTAGCCATACATAATGAATTTAGACTGCAGTCTGAAGTGACCCAAATCAGAGTTTTTCGCCCCTATGTGACCTGTATCTGATCTTTTAATGACAGTCTGAACGACACAGAGCCGATTTTTTCAAATGCGACAAAGGCCACTTGGATATGTGCTCTTAAAATCGAAACATATTCGATCTTTTGACATGCGACTTCGATTTGAACACCCAGGTCGCATTCATCCGACCTACACGTCAGGCTCGGAGTCTAGTCAATGGAGGGAAAGTGAGGTTAGTGAGTTTATTAATATTTGGGGGGATCGCTGTATTGAGGCCAAATCTGGAGGGGCGAATCAGGGGAACCAGGCCTTTTTAGAAATGACTGACAAAGAACTGATCAAGCGCGGCTACAGGTGGTCCTCGATCCAGTACCACTGAATAAAAAAGAGCCTGAGAACCAAATACAAGGAGGCTCCACACTCAAACAAACGAAGCGGCCGTGGACATGTATCCTGTCCATTTTAGGAAGAATTGGATTGTATTTTGGGAGACAAGCCCAGCGTTTAGGATACTTCCTTAAACACTGAGCTCGCTGTTCTCCAATGCGCATGTGGGACACTTTTGAGGCATTTAGAGTTCACAGTGGTGATCACATACAAATCACATTTAATTGGAAATGTAAATGACCTCGCAAAAAAAAAAATCAGATTTCACAAAAAATACGAAGTGAGCAATAAGCCCTACAGTCTGAACGTAGCCTATCAACTTGTCTCCATGAAGATGTTATAGTTTTGTACACACTGTATAGTATTAAAGTTATCTATCTCCATGGAGACAAGCAGATGGGGTCGTCAAGCCAAGTTACAGGTCAGATCTGTGGAGAGGCAAGCCCGCTCATAAAGAGAATGCATGTTTTTCAAGGTATTTTGAGACATAAACACTCCTGTAATTCAATAAAGGTAGTTGGACACGTTTAAAAGAAAGGAAAAGCCATAACATTTCAACGGATATCTGCAGACGGTGGACCCCCTACCAGAAAAGTTACCTAGTGCAAATATGGAATAAAAGTAAATTCTGTCATGTGCCTCACAGTAACAGTTTTTACTTATTTTTCGCTTCGCCGACATAAGTACAGATGAAGATGCTATACTCCACAGGATCCGATTTTGAATTTTTATCAAGGGTAGTTTGCTTCCAGTGACACAGCCCGTTTCATACATTATTGCTTTCCCATTTTCCTCAAATTATTGGGAAAATTGAGGCGGTAAATGAGCCTAACAGGAAAAACGGTTTGAGAAAATGCGGCAGCTGTTGTTACAAACATTTTCACACTCTGCTCATTAGCCCAATGTGCTTCTGCAGAGACCGATGTGATGAGTGAGTGACCACAAGAAATACGCTCTGCTAAAAAGTACGCTCGCTAAAAATACTTGAATTTACACTCACACATTTTTAGAACAGTTTGAACTATAGTTTTGATTTACATAGTTGTAATTTAAAGTTTTATGATTGTGATTACAGTTTCAGTATATATTTTTGTATGCTGCTGCTGTGTCGTTGGGCAAAAACACTCCAGCAAGATTGTAGATTCACACTGGCTAAAAAATTCTTGTTATGAGCAATTTGTACTAGTTTTTATTTATTTAGTAGTAATGTAATGGTTCATGATTGTAACTAGTTTCAATATATATCTTGGATGATGATGTCGTGTCATTATGCAAGACACTTCAGCCAGATTAATCCATGTATCATTTGTTCATTTGTTTTTTTAATATAAAACCAAAAATAAGAAAATGAAAAAACAACTATTTTCTTCATTATTTGTCTTCTAAACCAAAATGAAAAAACAGATAATGATTTGTTTTTTCAGTTTTCGATTTTGTGTTTAAATGAATAAAGGAAAAAACGGATAACGGCCGTTATCGTGACTTAAACTGTGATGCCGGACTTTTGCACTGCATACGGACTGAACCAGGACTGAACCAGGACTGAACCAGGACTAAAACAGGACTAAACCAGGTCTAAACCAGGTCTAAACCATGACTGAGTGTCTGGACAGACTGTCGGGTGATCAGGATTGAGACCGGAACCAGACCAGGACTGAGACCAGGACCGAGCCCAGGATCAGACCAGAACTGAGACCAGGACTTAGACCGGGACCAGGACCAGGACTGAGACCGGGACTGAGACCGCAACCGAGACCGGGACCATACCAGAACTGAGACGGGGACTAAGACTGGGACAGGGACCAAACCGGGACCAGACTGGGACTGACACCGGTTTAGACCTGTTTTAGACCTGTTTTAGTCCTGGTTCAGTCCTGGTCCAGTCCGTATGCGGCGCAAAAGTCCGGCACTGCAGTTTAAGTCATGGAAACGGGAAACGACTGTTATCTGTTTTTTCCATTATTCATTAAAACAAAAAATCAAAACTGAAAAAAACAAATCATTATCCATTTTTTTCATTTTTGTTTTGGAGACAAATAATGAAGAAAATAGTTGTTATTTCATTTTCAAATTTTTGGTTTTATTTTGAAAAATGAATGAACGAATGATACACGAATTCAGATTGTATGAAAGTGACGAGTGAGTGACCACAAGAAATACACACTGTAAAAATAAACACTCACTAAAAATACTTGAATTAAAAATTATCTTCTTTTAAGCTGTTTGAATTAGTTTTGACTAATTTGGTTGTAATGTAACTTTCAGGAATTGTTTTAAGATTTTCAGTATATATTTTGCATGCCTTTGTGTCATTGGGCAAGACACTGAAGCCAGCTTGTAATCATGGCTTCTTACGCTGAATGAGCAGGGTCGCCTCTCCATGGATATCGATAAGTTTAATGTCACACTGCGGAACATTTCAGGCACAACGATCACAACGACTGCAGTGACGGGACCAGTGCTTATAATTACTGTCTTTAGCTTACCTTTATTTTTCTTCCTGCTTTTTGACAGCGATGAGGAGGAGGAAGAGGACTGTTGATACGTCTAAAAACACAGAGAGGAAGAAGAACAAGAAAGAAAGCATGCTGTCAGTGTGAATCAGTGGCCTTTGTGCTGCAAAGGATCATGGGAAATAAAAGTTGACAGATCTCAGGGAGCGGAGCAGTGAGGAGACGAGGAGGAGACACACGGGCACAAAGGAAGCACAGCAGTTCTCATTATCTCGGTCCCACACGCAGTTATACAGAGACACATTTAACACACAGACAGAGACAGAGACAGAGAGAGAGAGAGAGAGGTGAAGGAGGAAGAGGAGGAGGAAGGAAGAAGAGAGAGAGAGAAAGGGAGAGGAGAGGAAAAGTAATGTGAGGGAGGCAGAGGGGACAGAGAGAAAGAGGGGAGAGAGGTGGGTAGAAAGGAGAAGAGAGCGGAAGCTAGAGGGGAGAGAGGAGGAGAGAGAAAAAAGAGGAGCGAAAGGAAGACAAGGGGAGGGAGAAAGAAAGAGAGAGGTAGGTAGAAAGGAGGAGAGAGAGAGGAAGATATGTGGGGAGAGAGGAAGGGGGGGGTAAAGAGAAGGAGGAAGGGAAGAGAGAGAAAAAAAAGAAAAGAAAGGAGAGAGGGAGATGAAAGACAAGGGGAGGGGTAGATAGAGAGAGAGGTAGGTAGAGAGGAAGACAGACAAAGGGGGAGAGAGGAGGGGAGAGAGAGAGGTAAAGAGAGAAGGAGGAAGGGAAGAGAGGGAAAAAAGAGGAAAGAAGGGAGAGAGAGAGATGGAAGACAAGGGGAGGGAGAGACGGGGTAGGTAGAGAGGAAAAAAGAGAGAGAGGAAGATAGAGGGGGAGAGAGGAAGAGGAGAGAGAGAGGGGTAAAGAGAGAAGGAGGAAGGGAAAAGAGAAAAAGAGGAAAAAAGGAGAGAGGGAGATAGAAGACAAGGGGAGGGAGAGATAGAGAGAGAGGTAGGTAGAGAGGAAGACAGACAGAGGGGGAGAGAGGAGGGGGGAGAGAGAGGTAAAGAGAGAAGGAGGAAGGGAAAAGAGAAAAAGAGGAAAAAAGGAGAGAGGGAGATAGAAGACAAGGGGAGATAGAGAGAGAGGTAGGAGAGAAGAAGAGAGAGAGGGGGAGAGAGAGGTAGAGAGAAGAGAAGGGAAAAGAGAAAAAGAGGAAAAAAGGAGAGAGGGAGATAGAAGACAAGGGGAGGGAGGGAGAGAAAAAGAGAGAGGTAGGTAGAAAGGAGGAGAAATAGAGGAAGATAGAGGAGGAGAGAGAGGGTTAAAATAGAAGGAGGAAGGGAAGAGAGAAAGAGAAAAAAGAGGAAAGAAAGGAGAGAGGGAGAATGGAAGACAAGGGGAAGGAGGGAGAGCAAAAGAGAGAAAGATAGGTAGAAAGGAATATAGAGGGGAGAGAGGAGGAAAGAGAGAGAGGGGGTAAAGAGAGAAGGGAAGAGAGGAAGAGAGAGAGAAAAGAGGAAAAAAGGAGAGAGGGAGTTGGAAGAAAAGGGGAGGAAGGAAGAGAGAACGAGAGAGAGGTGGGTAGAGAGGAAGAAAGAGAGAGAGGAAGATAGGGGGGAGAAAAGAGGAGAGAGAGGAAGATAGAGGGGGAAAGAGGAGGAGGAGAAAGAGAGAAGGAGGGAGAGAGGAAGAGAGAGAAAAAGAAGTAAAAAAGGAGAGAGGGAGGTGGAAGACAAGGGGAGGGAGAGCAAAAGAGGGAGAGGTAGGTAGGTGGAAAGGAGAGGAGAGAGAGAGGAAGATAGAGGAGAAAGAGGGGTAAAGAGAGAATGAGGAAGGGAAAAGAGAAAGAGAGAAAAACAGGAAAAAAGGAGAGAGGGAGATGGAAGACAGGGGAGGGAGGGAGAAAGAAAAAAGAGAGAGAGGTAGGTAGACAGGAAGATAGAGGGGAATAGAGGAGGAGAGAGGGGATAAAACGAGAAGGAAAAAGGGAAGAGAGAAAGAGAGAGAAAAGAGGAAAGAAAGGAGAGAGGGAGATGGAAGACAAAGGGAGGGAGGGAGAGAGAAAGTGAGAGAAGTATGTAGAGAGAAGGAGAGAGAGAGGGAGATAGAGGAAGAGGAAGGGGAAGAGAGATGGGGGTAGAGAGAGAAGAAGGAAGGAGAAAGAGGAAGAGAAAGAAAAAAAGAGGAAAGAAAGGGAAGACTTTAGCAACAGTTACAACTCTAAACATGAACTATGGAGATTACGTCTATGGTCCAGGTCATGTAATGTAAACAGCAAGGGATTTGGAAAGTTTGCTAAAACATTTACGGCTTGTTTAAACTTGGGAAAAGTGGACAAAAATGCATATTTGCCACGTTCTTTCACAACTTTCAATTTTGTGAACAGATGCCCTTTCTGTTGCAACAAGACTGGAGTAAAATTGGCTATAAGGAATTATTTATGTTCACAACAAATTCAAGGCGCTCAGTCGAGATCTGAACCTCAAACTATCTGGTCTGAGGTGAGATTTTTTATCCTTTTAACTCAATACGTTGTTTCACATTAATAGAAAATGAGGAGAAGAGACAGTCTAAAATTATCCTCCATAGTCTACTAACAACCTGGTCTATACATAACAAAATCTCACTGTGTTGCTCAATGTATTTTCATGAATAAATAGTTACTATACTGAACAAAAAGAAGATTTAATCATGAAATATCTGCAATAAATGCACATACACTCCATCAATTGTATGAGAGGAATTATTCATATAAAAATATTTGCAATCATAGTTTGTACTACTACATCTATGTTTCAGAAAGTAAAAGAAATAATAATAATAAACTACTCTATAATTCACATTTAAAGGTGCATTGTTTAACTTTTCTGTTGCAGGGTCGGTCAAATGCTTTTACTTTGTCTGGGCATTTTTTAGCTATAAAACCACCGGTAAAGACCTGTGTGACCTCTTGTATAAAACTGTGATTTTATATTTTACTACTTATCTTTCTAGTTTATTTTTACTTGTACATTTACATTTATATAATTATGTATTTGACACCTGACTCTTGCAATCTTTTGCTACTTATTTAGAATTTATTATTACCATTTATATTTTCGATCTTTGTTATTATAATTATTGTAAAGTGTGAGCTACTGTGTCCAAATAAATTCCATTGTGGATCAATAAAATTTGTCTAAGTCTAATTGTAAGTCTAAGTATCGTATTTTCCGCACTATAGGGCGCCCTTAAAAGCCTTTAATTTAATCAAAAAAATGACTGTGCGCCTTATAATCCAGAGCATCTTATATATTAATTTATTCAGGTGTTTTAGCACGACTTTAGTAAACTACAAAGCCACACCACTTGCAGCATTACGGCTCCCGTAGTCAGGAGCATCACGAAGTAATACATACTGTGATTCCTTTTAATGTCAAATTGCACCTGTCAAGAGACACACTTAAAACGCCCACTTTAAACTCAAGGCTATTATAAAGTTAAACTGCGAGTTGCGTGGGAGCAGTGGAACAGAGAAGGCGAATACACATTCAACAAGACAGGGAGACAGCGCCGAGCGACTTACGCCACGATCTGCCAGTGGATCGTGGACGCCTGGGCTATGGATCAGTATCAACCGTGATCCGAGCTTTCACCAAGACCAGAATCATCACTGAACTGTCAGGGAACAGTAACCACACTGACTCGGATAATGACAAGAGGGATGCGGGATGCCGAACAATCATGAGTTATTGTGAATACGCTAACAATTTAACGCTCTCAGACAGTATTTTCTTTTACATGTTACAATTGAACAAAGTTGAGAGTTATTGAGAACGTGTTAAATAAAGTTTGACTGACTTATCTAACTGTTGTGTTTCATTTAATGCACCTTATAATCCGATGAGATGTGCAAAAAGTTTAAAATAGACCATTCAATGACAGTGCGAATTGTAATCCAGTGCGCCCTATAGTGCGGAAAATACGGTAACTGAATAAATGTAAGGAGGAGCTGTTTCGTGTCATATTGTGAAGCAGATAAGCAAAACAATGACATATCCATAAAAACAAGAAGGTGATGGACCACAGTCAAAAAGTTACACAACGCACCTTTAATACAAACTTTGCCAACTCAAATTAAGTGTAATCATCATACAAGCTCCATAGCACATTAAAACATCATCTATACCCACACAGACATAAGTACCAGTGAGTGCGTATATATACAAGAGTTGAATGCAGGTTAGTAAACACTGCTGTTCTAGTGTAATAGCCTGCACCTGTACATGGGGCTAGGAGCACGACAGCGCAGATGGGAAAACCAACATTAACAAACATCTGGCTGGCTCTGCTCCATCGCGGGGTGTTAAGCAATATCTTCATCCTATCATTATAAAACACACTGTCTTATCTGCGGCGCATATAAAAGCAGCTATAGGTGCATTATAGCTTTGAAGTCTGCAATATAAAGGCAACGAATGCTTTCTGAATCTTGCCTACTAAACAGAATACATTTAAAATAGTTCAGATGGAGTTTAGATTGCAGATACTTTACTGCAGTGGTTATCAAACTGTGGTACATGTACTTTGGGTTGATCTTATGTTAATGGCCTATTACATTATTTTCTGATCATGTTGTTTCTTCATCAAAAACATACCTGGAGTTGTATTTTGTTTCATTCACACATGTTTAACACACAAACCCTAGATATAAAGGCAGAGTTCTTGCCTCAAACTGAAAAAGAAAAATCTGTTCCACCAGTACAGAAAGTGCTCCACTGGGTTTTAAACTCCATACACCTTCACTAGAATCATTTGGATTATTTCAGATGTGGAATTGCCAATCTCTACTGAATTAAAGGTAAGAAGTAGCTGTTATCCAGAAAATACCATATTTTTTGGACTATAAGGCACAGTTAAAATCCTTTAAGTATCTCAAAGAATGTAATAATTCCGGTTGTGCTTACTGACCATGAACCGATTTTATGTGGTACGCGGCGTGCAAAAATCTGTCCGAATGTAATTTTAGTACAACTTTAGTAAGCTATAAAGCCGCACCTCTTGATGGATTGTCAGAGCATTATGGTTACCATAGTAAGGAGCCTTGCGGAGTCACGTCCTTTAGTCCAACAGAAGCTGACTGCATCAGCGCACAAGGAGTAAGCTGTTTTTTCAGCTGTTACAGTTTATGCAAATTAGCCATGTGATTTTAAGTTTCGTTTCTGTAAAACATAAACAAATGTGCGCAAAGCTGCATTAAACACATTATTACTCAATGTATATTTGAGACCTCCTCATAGGAAATAAAAATCCAAATTTAAATTTTCCACCCACATTCACATTCATAATACACATTCACCAAGACAGGAAATCAACGCTGGGCGAATTACACCACAATCTGCCAATGGATTGTGGATGCCTGGGCTAAGGGATCAGTCTCAAGTGTCGTCCGTTTGTTTTGCGTAATGCGCCTTATAATCCGGTGCGGCTTATGTATGAAAATAGATGAGAGAATTCAACATTATTGATATTGAACCTTATAATCCAGTGTGCTTTATAGTCTGAAAAATATGGTATTACAAGGTGGAACAGATAAATTTGAGCTTTGAAGATGTAGACAGACTAATAATAGGATTTCTCAGGCATGTGTGAATGAAACAAAACAGCTCCATGTATGTTTTTTGATGATGTAAGAATATTATAACAGGGTTTAATGCTCTCAAGAGTCAATTTTGCATAATATAGGACCTTTAATGTTTGTCCGTTAGTCGTCACATTCACACCTGACCTCTCTGAGCAGGTCACATGGGTCGACAGTGTTTCACATATGAGAGATCTGGAGCGCTGCCATGTTCTGCCCTGAGCTCCACATGGGCCTGGAAACACCCCACTGCAGCCATCTGCCCTCACTGCTCCTCACAGCACCTCACAGCGCCAGAGGACCGTAAATACTGTCTCACTTTGGGTTAGAGAGAACGGTCAACACGCACAGGGTCAAGGAAAACTGAGCTGATGGGCACGTGTCAACTACTTAAAGTGGAACTCTACACTAAATCTTCTTTTTTGTCACGACCAAACTGTGTGTATGGTGTTTTAATAGCATCATCTACTGTTCATAGTCATTTTTTGTCACCTTTAGAGCAAAGTAGGTAAATTTGCAGCTTTCTGGTCAAAAACACCTAAATTTAAGTTTGTGTTTGTGCCTTCAGTGGCCTTTGCAGTTTCAAGTAGTTGGTGACATCACAAATGACTGCCTGGATTACAAACATCTGGCTTTGTTAGACCAATCACACTGTTTGTTATACTTCCAGCCCCTGCCCTTCCTTCTCTCTCACTCTCTTCTTTATTCCTCCAGGTACTGCCCAGTTTAGCAGCTCTATTTGAAATAAGGTTGTGGGCGGAGTTTAGGTGTTTCGTCTCATTTTAAAAGGTGCATATCGCCAGTTTCATTGCATAAATTTAGTTCAGTTGTGTCATTTTGCTCTCCAGACCCTGCTGCTTCTGTAGCTGTCATTAGACCGTGTATCATTCGTTCATTTGTTGTTTTTTTTTAATATAAAACCAAACATAAGAACATGAAAAAACAACTATTTTGTTCATTATTTGTCTCCAAAACCAAAATGAAAAAACTGATAACAATTCATTTTTACAGTTTTCAATTTTGTGCCGGACTTTTACGCCACATACAGACTGAACCAGGACTGAATCAGGACTAAACAGGACTAAACTGTTTTCAGTCCTGGTCTGGTCCCAGTCTCAGTCCTGGTCTGTTCCTGGTCTCAGTCCCGGTCTCAATCACGGTCTGGTCCTGGTCTGGTCCTGGTCTGCTCCTGGCCTCAGTCCTGTTCTCAGTCTCAGTTTCAGTCCTGGTCCTGTTCCTGGTCTCAGTCCTGGTCTATGTTCTGGTCTGGTCCCGGTCTCAGTTCTGGTCTGGTCCCGAACTCAGCCCTGGTCTGGTCCCAGTCTCAGTTCTGGTCTCAGTCCTGGTCTCAGTCCCGGTCTGGTTCAGTCTGGTCTGATCGCAGTTTAAGTCACGGAAACGGGAAAACGTTATCCATTTTTTCCATCATTCAATTAAACATAAAATCGAAAACTGAAAAAAAAAAAAACAAATCATTATCCGTTTTTTCATTTTGGTTTTGGAGACAAATAATGAAGAAAATTGTTGTTTTTTCGTTTTCTTATTTTTGGTTTTATATTGAAAAACCAATGACACACGGATTGCCACTGGCCCTGTCCTCAGTCAATCAGGAGCATTTTTACAGCCAAAAAACACAAACTGTCTGATTCATCTTATTGACACAGGCATCTCATTTTTAGATTTTTGTGAAAACCTTGAAAAATTACTTGGGCAATTATGCTGTGAGGCTAACAATGTGTCACCTATACTCTTAGTTTAAATAAGAAACTACAATATTCACAACTGAGCCTGGGCTGCTAATGCTTTAACCTGCAGAGAGAGGACACATATATATATATATTTTTTTTTTTTTTTCTGAAGAATTCACTCGCTGTGCAGAAGAGACTGCTTAATGATTGGCTTCAGGTGCTGGGGTTTTTGTAGTGAGGATTCAGATCAGAGAGAGACTTTTTAGGTTTAAGCCAGCTGGATTTTAGCACTGAAACTGCCAAACCAAATGAGAAACACTTGAAGCTCTTTCTACTTTTTGATCGATAACTGTCTTGAAAACCAAAACAGATAATCAACACGTACATGATAGAGTGATGCTGGGTCTCGCGGTGGGGAATCCCTCTGATTGGATTGGAGGACGTAGTGGGAGGGGCTTTGGCTGTGATGACTCCGCCTCTTTGCCCGTTTTGCCGTGTCATTGGTCCGTTTCCCTGGACGCGCCGTGTGGGAGGAGTACTCGTCTGACGTGGTTCTTTCGTCTGATCCGGGAAGACCTCCATAACGCATCAGCGAAGCCTCTGTTCAAAAACGTACACAAAATAATACATGTCTATACAGTAAAATAATATATACAGAGTAAAATAATAATGTATGTGTTAATTGAGTGAATAAATAAAGCATGTAGAGTATCTTGACAGGCACTATAAAATAATTATAACATTTCAAGTCACATAATGTTTTACTGAAACTGTAGAAAACGTAAACACAACATATGAATTAGTAAGTCAACTGTGATAATACGGATTGGCTAATTTGTGCAAAAAGGAATATAATTTTAATTGACCTGAATCTTATTACTATAACTTTAGTTTATAATCATTGATCAACCCAGAACTAGCAATATAGTTCACAGCAGCTCAGTAGCACCTAATAAAAACATAGATGGGCAGATAAATCCTGAATGAAATTCAAACTTTGTCAGCAGAAACATAGACAAAAAGATGTTTAAAGGTGCACTATGTAACTTTTTGGTTGTGGGCCTGTCATCTGCTTGTTTCTATGGATATGTCATCTACTTCAAATTTTTCACTGTATGACATTAAACAGCTTTACCTTACGTTTATTAAATTACAGGTGGTTTTATAGCTCATAAATATCTACAGAAACACATTCCCCTCCCCTCTTCACAGATATGATCTGTAACTTGGCTTGGTTTGAGCTCCATGATGATAGAAAGTAGGGATGTAACAATAACCGAAATATTGTGATATCGTATCATCAAAAGTCTCACAATAATATATCGAATTACAAGTTCCTTTGCTTAAATGCACAGGAACTACATTTCCCATGATTCATTTCAGTGCAGACAATACGAAGAGATATGTTTTTTACTTGAATTCTTGGGATTATGATGGTAATAATTCACACCAAAACCTTGTCAAGGTATTTTAAAAGCAAAAAAAGTGTCCCATCTACAATTATATATGCCTCTTCAAAATATTGCAATAATAATAATCGTACCGTGACATGCATATTGTGATAATATCGTACCAAGAGATGTGGATATCGTTACATCCCTAATAGAAAGGTTTAATACCATCCTGTGAAATATTCCAGGTAAAGCAATAATATCTCAATGGAGAAAAGTATTTCACGGACCCTCCACCAGAAAAGTTACTCAATGCACCTTTAAAAGTTAACCATTCATCCTCTTAATAAAAATTATAAAAGAAAATAAAAAAAGAGGGCGGCATGTGTGACCTTTGGGTTGTACGGAGCATTTCAAACATGCTTAGTCCAGTTTGTTCTTGGCGGGTTTGTGCTTTGATCCAGGTTAATGACAGCCACATTATGAAAATAAATCCACAAAGGCCAGGGCTCCGAGAGGTGTGACGGCCATGCACCCGAGCAGTTTAAAGCAGCAGATGTCGACCTTTAACTAATCACGGTCTGAGCAAATGAACTGAGAGAAGAACCAGGAAAATCCACTCACGGACTAATGGATGACATTTATTGAAATTAGGATTACGTGTTAAATCTATTACGACCAGAACACAGTGTGAAAGGGTCAGCAGCTCTTCACCCATGTCAATTTAGTCTGAAAAGTCAGTTCAGTCTGTTTAAAGTAATTAGCTACATTAACATTCAATAAGATCTTTTTATAATTGAAATGATGCATACTGTCTACAAAGTTTTTCTGCACTTTTCAATACCAGTGAATTCAAAACCTCAAAGCCTTTATAACTTAAAAGTAAATGTTGACTTGAAATTATGTAATTATGCCATACTCCATTAGGTAAGGCCATGAACGGGCTCTGTTCATACTAGATCTGAACAATGTGGGGAAAGTAACTATTTGCAGTTTTTACAGACAAGCACTGGGATTTTAGTTTTTTAAATTTGTCTTTAAATAACTGAATTCTGTTCAAACATCAAAAAGAATTGGCAGAAAGACTAAAAAGTATGTATTTCAGAAAATGTTTTTTGCTGATCTAAACATCAATATGATGAGCACTGGTTATGCAATATAAAACAGGATATTTTGTTAGATGCAGCCTTTGTGATTTGCTCATTGAGTTGTTTCAGATGCATTTTCGATTCATTTGCGGTCAATATTGCCCACTTTTATGTTTGTACTGGTTTCATTCTGGTTTGGCCCAGAGTAGGCCTGATCTAAACCTGGTTTATTTCTGGTCTAATCCAGGTTTAGTTCTAGGATTAGGATTAATTTTTGATGTGGTGGCAGGTATTTCATAGCCAGGCTGGTGCCACCTAGCGCCTCCACTCAATTTCATTTCTCTCCAGTGACAAAGTCAGGAATCGGAATACACTAGATAGTTAGCAAGAACCCCGGATGTTGTAAACCGTGCACAGGCCAATCAGCGAAGAGCTGCGAAACAGTAAACAAAGTGGTCGAGATGGTTGTAAACAAAGCCATACATTCTGTGTTGGCAACGATTCCTGAGGTCGAGGATTTAAAGTCGGAACAAAGAGAATGTTTGGTGAATTTTATCAAGGGGAAAGACGTTATTGTCCTTCTTCCTATGGGATTTGGGAAAAGCTTAATACACCTAATACACCAGTTACCCCCGTTAGAGGTGCATTATACGTCATGACCAAGTAGCGGCGATTGGTTAAATAAAAAAGTACTCGCCTACTGTGGAGCAAATGATTCCTAATACTGCGAATCAGGCTATGGTATTTCACGTTATGAGGACTAAAATCTACACACTAAATGCACGGGGACCTGCCTCATATATGCAGAAAAAATCAAATCCCCATGACCCAATTGATTTATTATCAGACCAACAACATGATTAAAAGTTGGGTTATAATAATAATCAAATCTAAGGTATAGTTTAGAGTATATAAGACTAATGCATTAAAGTTAGGCAAGTAGTGACTATGGTTAAGGTAATGTCCCCAATTAGCATGGAAACCCAACATGTAAGTACACAAGTGTGAAGAAGATTAATTTTCTGCATTTCACACATCTATCCACTGCAGGCAGGAGAAGAGGGAGACCACTGAGTAGCGTCTGGATAGTCTGTTTTAAAGATCTTGAGCCAAGATCCTGGTCAGGGCCAAGCTGTGGACTAAAGTCTGTGCAGTAAATGTTTTTAGTGTGAAGACAAATTAGAAACTAACTCATTGAAGCACAAGGGAGCATGCTAAATGAAGAGTCTGAGTATCCAAACGATTATTTAAAGCCTTCAGTTAAAATTTTACATGGTGGAGAGCTAAAACTTATCTTCTTTTTATGGAAGAATCAGGTTTATGCTTTCTGGTCAGAGTTTCAGAATGATGAGAAATTAGGACCATTGCAATAGTGATTAACAATTAAAAACTGAAACCCATGAATACGTGTTACGACCCAGCTCGCTAAGATCAGGGAAGTAACAAAAAATACAAGGTGGAAAATGGTATAAATTAAGTCATGTTTAATTAACAGGGATGATAAATGGTGAATTAACAAAATATGCAAAAATATGTACATAAAATAACCTAAACTGAGAAGCAAAATCTAAGCAAAATATAACAAGTTTTGTGCCAAAATGAGTTATAAAGGAACTAATACAAAACTAAATACATAAGTGTCCCAAAGTAAAACCACATAAACCCACAAACAGAATCAAGTGACAAAACAAAAGGGCACAAAACAGAACTAAACAGAACTAAACTAAACAGGTGTCTTGACACAAACAAAGTCAGACATGTACCAGTACAAACAAAGTGCTGACATGAAAGAGACACAAACAAACAAAAAATAGCAGACTGGCCACAAAGCCCAGCAGTGCCAAACAGGTGCTGGCAATCTCTTTAAATAGTGGGAGGTGGCTGCAGGTGAGGTGTGCAAAGGTGAGCCCCACCAATCACAGACCAGGACTCCCACAACAGGAATCACCCTGTGTTCGATTATCCTTCCGAATCGGTTTTCCGAGGAAGCTGCCTAGCCACACGTGTGGCATGCCCCTTTTCCTGGGACCGACCGACTTGGAATTCGGTGGCAGAAAAAGTAGACAGAGCGAGGATTCTGAGATAGAAGCCAAGCTGGCTATGCCCACCATGATGTGTAAATATGAACTGTTTTCATTGTTTGGACACTTTGGTGGTTTAAATTACAATTTCAGTCACTTGTATCACTGCAATATCTCACCGCGTCCATATCAGTGCCTTTGGGTTTGAAAGTCAGTGTTGTGATGAGGCCAATATTGAACAAATACTTGATTTAACGGACATTAACATCCCTAAGGTTGTAACGGAAGAGAAAACATAACATAAAATGAAGTGCACATTTCTATAATTAAATTAATTAAAGTAGCAGCATTTTCATAAGATGATTGAATAGTCATAATCATAATCCACGTAATCCGACATGCGAAACGTAATAATACTCTTCAAGCTCGGACATGATGTCAAGTGGGAGTCGGAAGGATAATCGAACGCAGGGTCAGGACAACCAGCAAAAGAAATTAAAAACACACAAAAGAAGTCAGAGAACTGGAGGCCTGGGGCTATAACAATGCACTAGATACTCTCAGTAGCTCAGTTGGTAGAGGATTTGTCCACTGATCCAAAAGTTGGCAGTGCGATTACAGCTCCCACAGATGATTGCTGTTGTTGTGTTGGGCAAGACACTTACCCCCTCTCGCCCCAAGAGTTTGACTAAACTAGTGTAGGAGTGTGTGTGTGGATGAACGATTCCTTGATGCAAAGAGCTTTGAGTGCTTTAAAGTGGAAAAGCGCTGTATAAAAATGTGAAAGGAGTGCGGGCAGTATGCCAAAAAATATATTGCAATTTTTAACAGCCTAAACCAGCCTAAATGTTAAGTTAATCAGTATTTATACAGTTTATGCTGCTAAAAAAGAGGGAATAGAAGCCATGTGTTTCTTTCAAGTTCATACTTCACTGTGATTGGTTGAATCCACCTGTCACTCACTCAGAGCATGAATGATATAATTTTTTTCTGAATATTACCTTATAGTCTTAGTTCAAAGTCTTCTCAGCCTTCATACATATTTTTTTTTTCACCCCAGGGGCAAAGGTGTTCAGAATATAAAAGTTTAATATTTGAGATTTTTCTGGTTCAATAGTTTTCCTCGACTTGCACTTTCTGCATTCTTTCCACACAACTTCCTATAACCTTCATCTCTCTCTCTTTCCCTCTCTCTTTCTCTCTCTATTCCCGGGGGATCTAAACTCACAGCCCTCAGCACGACTGTGGCGGCCATCTTGTCATCTACATCGTCCCCTTGTTACTGGGTGGTTGCTAGGTAGCGGCCGGAGGAGAGGGTCGTCATGGCAACTGCGTGAGTTATTCAGGTGCAGGTCAGGAGGATGGATAGTGTTTTTCTTTTCTTTTTAATTGTCGTCCTTTAACTGTCACTCCAGTGCGCCATTCCTTCTCTTGTTTACTGCTCATACTGCAGCACCACTGGACTGAACACAAACATACACAAGATCTGTTTGAGTTTAAAGCACTTTTGAGTGTTGGTAAAGTGTCCCAACTGGGCCAAAATATCAGAATATATAGTGACACATTCATCCTAACAATTCCTATACTTACTTATTTACTAGATTATATATTATATCAGTTTTCCAAGACATTTTACTTTAATTCAAAGCAAACTTTTCAGTCAATTGGGTAAGACTAATCTATTTAGTAAGGGTGTAACTGTAAACAAAAATCACGTTTCGGTACATACCCCAAAACCATTTGCTTGTTGTTTTTTTGCGTGTTTATTAACCAAACAATTTGTTTTAACTTTATACAAATGGGAAAATAAAATAAATGCAAAGTGCTGCTTGATAATACTAATAAGTTAAATAAAATATTCTCAAATAAGAAACAAATGTATGAAGTATTATAAAAAATAAACTCAATCTTTTACTCAATCTTCATATTTTTGGCCGGGGGGTGGGAGGCAGGGGAGATTCCGTGTCGGCAAAAGGTGAAAGTGAGGACTGGGCGCGATGACCTCAGTTTTGCAAGGATTCACGTGGTTTGGAGGGATGTAGTCAAGGCGGTGGGCAATTGTTGTCAAGGTGGCCGCCCTAACTATAAGCTCTGCAGGAAACACTAAAACACAATCACGGAGCTGAGCCTTCTGTGTAGCTGCACATGTTGTGGCAGAATGTAAACACACACAAATTGTGCAAACTCACTCTTGCACAGCCCTGCACCGAACCAAATGTCCTGTACTGAAACGGTTCAGCACGAATACACGTACCGTTACACCCCTACTATTTAGAATTACATGCAATTTTCTTCCACATTTGCAAAGCTTTTGTTGAACATAAATACCACTATTTTACACTAGTTGTGAAGCAAAATTACAAAAATCATAATGCAAGTAGATGTAAGTATAAACAAATTTTAATAACACTTTTAAATTCAAGTAATTTTAAACCTGTATACGAGTCCCTTTTTGTAAAACACAATCTAACATTGTGCTCATCTCTCAAATTTTCAAAAGTGGAGGGAAAGTTAACAATATCAGAAAATAAAAACATTTAAGATTCTAAATTCAAGTCATTTAAACCAGTTGATACTTTGCAGCTGATATCATCAACATTCCCTGAGGGTGTGAAGCCACTTGAGGCACTGCTCTGTTACCTCACTGAGCTTTATTTTAACACAATCTGACCAGAAAGAACTGACTTTGTTTGAACTACAAAAGGTGAGCTGATCAGTGCTGTTAAACAAGTGTCTCTCACAAGGTCTCACCTTTTTGTTGAAAATTAAACTCCTAAATGGGACCATGAACACTCGTACTGATCACAGGCTCCTGAACGTTTGTTGTTTAAATCCATTTTGTAGTTTTCTTGTTCAGTATCTCACATTTTTTGCTAATTGTGTCACCGTGGAACATTCCACCATACAGATACATGTAGAACACCCCCAGAGTATCAGTACAGCTTTATCTTTTGTGTTTAAGGGGGATGTCTCGCTCACCTCTGCTCCTCTCTCTGTTCAGTTTGGCTGGGTCCTCGTAGTCGCCCACCCAGTTACACTCCACGGGCATCGAGATGGGCCTTAGTCTGCCTACAAACACAATACAAAAGTCACGGTAAGAGTCAGATGTGATTAAAACACGGTACAATATGTGGGATTATTCAACTCTGCTCAAAAGAAGTTATGTCATGATCAAATTGGGATGGCCTAGATTGCATGGTGACTAAGAGTTTTTTAGATAAACAAAGGTAAAATGAACTCATTGGACCCATATTTCTGTCACTGGGTTAACAGTAGTCATCACACGTTTTAATACAGTTGAAAAATTCATGAAACAATTTGGCCCAGTAACCCAATTCAGCACACCAGTTTTGTTGCATTATATGTTTTTTAATACCGTCATTGACATTTAGCAATATTATCTACCAACATACAGTATGGCACTTAAGGATAATAATACAGGGTTGCTCAAAGTTGTGTTTGAGTTAGCATTTCAAAAAGACAGGCTACAAAATGAGGGTTATTAATCCATGTATCATTCATTCGTTTTTCAATATAAAACCAAAAATAAGAAAACGAAAAAATAACAGTCTTCTTCATTATTTGTCTCCAAAACCAAACTGAAAAAACAGATAATGATTCGTTTTTTTTTTTTTCAGTTTTTGATTTTGTGTTAATGGCCGTTTCCTGTTTGCGCAGCATACGGACTGAACCAGGACTAAACCGGGTCTGAGATCAGACTAGAACCAGACCAGGATTGAGACCAGGACTGAGACTGGGACCAGACCAGGACTGAAAAAGGTTTAGTCCTGGTTTAGTCCCGTTTCAGTCCTGAATCAGTCCTGATTCAGTCCTGGTTCAGTTTTGTGACGCAAGTTCGGCATCGCCGTTTAAGTCATATCTTTTTTTTTTTCCATTTAAACACAAAATTGAAAACTAGAAAAAAATATTCGTTATCTGTTTTTTCATTTTGGTTTTGGAGACAAATAAAGAAGAAAACAGTTGTTTTTTTCATTTCTTATTTTTGATTTTATATTGAAAAATGAATGAACGAATGATACATGGATTGTTATTGATTACTGGTTATTGTATTTGTATTTATTTATAGCTAGCTTATTTATTTATTTATTTAAAACAGTTCCTATTAAAAGACAAGATAAAGCAAAAGAAAAACATGCATTTGTAAATATGCAGGATTGTAGTCAAAGCTATTTCCCTTCAAATAATTACAAAGACTTCTTTCAATTGACCACAAAATGCACTGTGTAACTTTTCTGTACTAACTTTTCCACCAACTTGTTTCCACGGAGATGTGATTGTTGTGCCTGAAAAGTTCCACAGCATGGCATTAAACATATCTGTATTGCATTAAATGGTCTGACTGCAGAAAATGCTCTAAAAAAAACTTGCATTCTTTCTAAGAACAGGGTCACCTCTTCACAGATTCTTAGATAACTTTGGCACTGTGGCCTAAACTGCTTGTCTCCACGGAGATACGTTTAATGCCATACTGTGGAATATTCCAGGTAAACCAGCTTTTCTTCTGTCTTGTGATACCTTGACACTGCATGGCAAAAATCTAAGAGTATTTACTGTCAATATTGAACAACAAAACAATGAATAACAATAAAATGAATGATACAAATTATGTGGGATTTATCAAAACAAATAATTCCCCACTGGTCTAGACTACACTGACCTGAATTACACCATGAGTAATACACTTGAATCCTCCAAAGTGAAACTGAAATAAATCAACCTCTCTTTTGTTTGGTTTATTGGCCCTATTCAAACTTAATGTTATAATATATGGAGTCATAAATTGGATCTTAAAGGGACAATATTGCGCTATTTTCTGATCTATGTTATAATGTTGTTTCCTCATCACAAACTTGTCTGTGTTTTGTTTCATTCACACATGTTTAACACACAAATCTTGCATGTTTAAGCAATATAGGGCACTTAAAGTTCCTATATATAAAAATACATCCTGGAATTGTGTTTTGTTTCATCCACACAGTTTTGAGTAGCCCTTTATTCTTAGTCTGTCTACATCGTTAAAGCTCAAAATACTCAGTTCCACCATTCTGAAATCATCCAAATGATTCCAGTGAAAGCACATGGAGTTTAAAAACACAGTGGAGACCTTCTTGTGTTACTACATGACATCACGAGGTTTGAGAGAAGAGCTCAGCCTAAATCCGCTGGGTTTGTGTGTTAAACATGTGTAAATTAAATGAAACAAAACACAACTCTGGGTGTGTTGTGATGAGGAAACAACATGACGACATAGCTCAGAAAATAGTGTAATATGGACCCTTTAATGTTACAATACATGGAGTCATAATCTGGGTCTTAAGTGTTTAGTGTTTTAGTGGTTGGTGTCCATTAAAAGCGGCTGGCCTGGTTTAGTTGGCAGCAGTCTCACAGTGATGCCATACTGTCCTGGCGTGAACTGAAAACTCCTACACAGATGACGTGTTGATCAGTAACAGCAAGATGACATTTAGAGATTGGATTATGGTCGCATTATTCATTAATATTCATACAGTTCTGTTTTGGGACACAATATCTGCACAATTATTTTGGTAAATGTCAGAACCAAAATGAAAGTGAAGTTAAGACTGTTGGTTTAGTGTGTTGATTTAATGTCCTTGTGAAGAACAACGTTTGTGGAAAAGATAATGTTCTTTACAAATGCGAGTTATGTTTATCAAATTGCAAATTAGGCAGATGTAATTGTGAACTGTTGAAATCTTCTGGAGGTGGCACGTCTCCTGGTTGATTCCATGGAAACAGGAAGGTAAAGCCATACTTAAGAACAATCACCATGGAGATTAATACGTTAAATGCCATACTGTGGAATATTTTAGCCCAAGAAACAACATTTCCCACATGCCCTCCTCCACGCCAAGAAGAATCAGGTTTGTGGAAATGCGACCAAAATGAAGACAAAACAAAACATGCTTTTATTTTAGCCCTTGTTTGGACAATAGGAATGTAACAATAACCGAAATGTTGCGGTATCGTATCGTCAAAAATCTCACAATAATATCAAATCACAAGTTCCTTTGCTTATGAACATCAGGAACTACATATCCCATGATTCATTTCAGTGCAAACAACATGAAGAGATATGTTTTTTTACTTGAATTCTTGGGATTATGACGGAAATAATTCACACCAAAATTTTGTCAAGGTATTTTAAAAGCAAAATGTGTCCTATCTACAATTATTTTAGCTTCTTCAAAATATCTTAATAAATATCATACGGTGAGATGCATGTCGTGATAATATCGTACCAAGAGATTTGGATATCATTACATCCCTAGACAACAAAGTTACATACTGTGGCTTTAAAGGGGCACCATGCTCATGCATTTTCCGACCTGTCTGCCGCCATGAAGATGTCCTATATACCATACGGTATTAATCTTCACTACCTTGGATTTACAGGTGATTTACATATACAGTATCTCAGCAATAACCTTGAATGCAGATAGGTAAGTTTAATGCTATGCTGTGGAATATTACAGGCAAAGAAATTATAGACTTTGTACCAGAAAGTTACATAGTGCAATAAGGGAAGAGAGACTACATTTTCTGGATTACTGAAACATGTGAATGGAAAAAAGATAAGAAACTGTGAGATACATGGTTTCGCTATGTTGTTGTTGTTTTTTTTTAGAGTCTCTATGTATGATTCAGAGTCACAGAAAAATGGGCAGAGATAGGGGCAGGTGAAATACTCAAACCTTGGACTGCATGGGTCCATTTTTGGAGACCCACACCCGCCCGCACCCATCCGTTAACCCGTGATTATATCAAAGTTAAACCCGCACCTGCCCGAACCCATTGCCATTCCACCCATTACCCGCCTGTGCCTGTGATAAATCACACACAAAATAAAAGCATTCTAACTGAAGCATCCAGTTACTCTTTCTTCATTAAGAATATTAATTCACAGATGCAACTTTACTGTCAAAAATACGACATCACTTCACAGGCATTATTTACTGAGAAGAAGAAACATTGATCGGGATGCCGGATTTTTGCACCACACATGCCACGGACTGAAACAGGACTAACCAAGGACTAACCCAGGACTCATACACTCACTGTTGGGACAAGCCTGGAGCCTGCTTAGACCGTCGGGTTACCTGACTCGGTGCAAGACTCTGCCTTGAATGCAAAACAGGGACTAATTGAACATGCAGAAATCAATAGAAATAAGAACTTTGAATAAGCTAACGATGAGGGAACACTGTAATGGCAAAAGTTGATAAAATGTCCCTTTAACGTGCTGAGCTGACTCTAAACTCACCGTATGTGGGTGTGGTGCAGTAGACTGGCTCGTCGTCATCACGCCGGCGAGACTCTTGGTCCAGGAAGGAGTTTGGAGAGTCCGAGCGCTTAGCAACACTGAGGCTGCCATGGTTACGTGACGCCTCATCTCCAGACTCATCTCTACGGCAACAACAGATGCACATCAAAGACTCACCATCTGGAAATTACCTACAGGTTTTGCTATGAAAGATGCCAATGCTGGTGTTTTACATTTGTGGAGATGACTGGCTCTGCTGTGCTCACACTTGCTTTGGTCCTGTTTTGATACTGATGATCTAGATTTAGTTTTATCCTGTTTGTGAACTCGTTTAGCCTGGTCCAGTCACAGTCTAGTCCTAGTTTAGTCCTAGTTTAGTCATGGACTTGTCTTGGTGTAGTCCTGGTTTAGTCCTGGTTTATGCTTGTTCTAGTTATGATTTGGTCTTGGCCTAGTCCTGGTTTAGGCCCGGTTTAGTCCTAGTTTAGTTTTGGTTTAGGCATGGTCTAGTCTTGGTGTAGTCTTGGTGTAGTTCTGGTCTAGTCCTGGTTTATTCTTGATCTAGTTATGATGTGGTCTTGTCTAGTCCTGGTCTAGTTCTGATCTAGTCCTGGTCTAGTCCTAGTTTTGTCATGATCTAGTCTTGGTGTAGTCCTAGTTTAGTTCTAATTTATTGTTGTTCTATTTATGATGGGGTCTTGGTCTAGTCCTGGTCTAGTCCCGGTTTAGTCCTAGTTTAGTCTTAGGTTAGTCATGATCTAGTTTTGGTGTAGTCCTGGTGAAGTCATGGTTTATTCTTGTTCTACTTATGATGTAGTCGTGGTCTTGTCCTGGTCTAGTCCCGGTCTAGTCCTGGTCTAGTCCTGTTCTAGTACAAGATCAGTTCAGAGTTTTGTCCCAGACTAGTTTCATTTTTACTTTTGGGTGAGTTTGAATGTACCCTTAGGTAACCCTGCATACAGTAGTTTAATTTCTCCCTCTTTGCCAAAAAAGTAAAAAGAATTTAAAATTGGAAAGTCATAAGAAAGTAGCTTCCAATTTAAAATATCATAAAGCAAAATTATGATACTATAAACTACGCACATAATAAACCATTATGGGCTTAAAAATATTGGCCCTCATCATTTCTACTCCAAAAAATTTGATAAAAGGTCCTGCAAGGATTAAAAGTCTCAACAACATTTTTTCTATGTGAGCGGACAAAAACGAACCTGGGCTGGTACGGTTCATTGGGGGGAGGAGGGATGTACAGGTCCTGAAGGGCGGAGCTCTTGGTTGGAGTCCCAGATGGAGTCCCTGAACTGCTGCCTGGACTTCTGGTCGGCTGGAAGAGCGGAGAAGAGGGAATTTACTTAAAGGTTACATATTACGCTATTAAAAACACGCTGAGTTGTGTTTTGTTTCATTCACACGTTTAACACACAAACCCTGCATATTTGAGTTTTTCTCTCAAACAAAAAATGTGATGTCATATGTAAAACAGGAAGTGTTCCACTGTGTTTTTAAACTCTACACAAATTCACTGGAATCATCTGGATAATTTCAGCCCTGGAATTGTCCATCTCTATTGAACAAAAGGTAAAATGTAGCTGTTTAACTTGAAAACTACTGCTTCATGACATCACAAGGTGGAACAGAGCACTTTGAGCTTTGAAAATGTAAGCTAAACCCAGACTAAAACCAGACCACAAATAGCAGCAGAATTTGTGAATGGGGAAGTCAATTGTGGGGTTGTACTTGAATTGAAAATATTTTAACATTGCTTTGTTGATATTGAAGCCATAAACATAATAAACTTAACTTTAAAGACATGATGGTGGCTCTTTCAATACAACTGTTTACAAAACACACTGTGGTTTTAAACTTCATACACCTTCGCTGGAATCATTTGGATAATTTCAATCCTAGAGTTGTCCATCCTGTTGTTAACTTGAAAAATACAGCTTTTAACTTGAAAAATACTGCTGATAACTTGAAAAATACAGATATTAACTTGAAAAATGTTGTTAACTTGAAAAATACTGCTGATAACTTGAAAAATACTGCTATGAACTTGAAAAATACTGCTATTAACTTGAAAAATACTGTTATTAACCTGAAAAATATTGTTGTTAACTTGAAAAATACTGCTGAAAACTTGAAAATTATTCCTTTTAATTCGACAAATACTGCTATGAACTTGAAAAATGCTGCTATTAACTTGAAAAATACTGACGTTAAATTGAAAAATACTGCTATGAACTTGAAAAATACTGCTGATAACTTGAAAAACACTGCTGTAAACTTGAAAAATACTGCTGTAAACTTGAAAAAATTGCTATTAACTTGAAAAATACTGCTGTTAAAGTGAAAAATACTGCTTCGTGACATCACAAGGTGGAACAGAGAAGATTTCGGAGATGTAGACAGCCTGATAGTAAAGGATTACTCATGAAAGAAACCATAACTCCAGGAAAGTTTTCTGGAGTTAAAGCTCACTTTTAATCCAGTGATTGCAGAGTTTAGATAAAGCCATTTGGAAATAAAAAGGGTGAAGGTAATAGCTTTTCCGGCTCTGCCTACTAAACTAATTGTAAATAAATAACAGTGAATATGAATGCAATTTTCCACCATAGACTCCTTTGTATTATGAGGCAACATTATTACGGTGAGAGAACAATGAATGAATATATTGAGGAAAAACATTCTAGACGCCCATTCAGTCTTGGAACAAAGGTGATGCTGTTAGTGCCCAAACTAGATCCTCATAACTGTGGTCCCAACAAACAAACAAAGCAAAGAGTTTAGCGTGACCTGCAGTGCGAGGGGTTTCCAGCGCATGTTCTTGAGGAGAGCAGGGGCGGAGCTGAGCGTGCTCTGTGGGCGCTTCTTCAGGGTCAGGGACACGACGCCTTTGTCAGCGCGCAGAGACCCCACCAGGTTACGCAACTGCCAGCCCACCTGAAGCAGAGATAAATGAATGAACAACTACAGTGAAGGTCGTATTAAAAGGTGCATTGTGCAACTTTTCTGGTGGAGGGTCCGACACCTGCTTGTCTCCATGGAGTTTTATTGCCAGCATTTATCTATTGCTCAAACATACAATAATTATCTCTATGAATAGGGAGACTCTCCACAAATCTGCCCTGTAATGTAGCCTGTACTGCCCAACAAAGGCAAAAGGCAGTAACACCATGTTTGGTCAAAAATTAGTTGGGAGTATTTGAGACCTCCTTTATCATGTGAATAAATATTGACCTTTGACGCTTATTCGATAGTTACTGTACTCTGCCTTTAGCCAGGTTGGTGCCACCTAGGGCCTCCGCTCAATTTCATTTTTCTCCAGCGACTAGGTCAGGAATCGGGATACACTAGACAGTTCACAAAAACCCCAAAGGTGCGAGTTTTGGCACCAACCAGTCAGCGAAGAACCATACAACGATTTCCGAGATTGAGGGTTTAAAGCCAGAACAAAAAGAATGTTCGGTGAATTTTATCAAGGGGAAGGACGTTATTGCCCTTCTTCCTACGAGATTTGGGAAAAGCTTAATGTAGCAGTTAACTCCGTTAGTGGCGCATTACATACATCATGACCAAATAGCAGCGATTGGTTAAATGAAAAAAAGTACCCTCCTACTGTTGAGCGAATGAATTCTAACGCTGTGAGGTCAGACAGTTTCCACTATGTGAAACCAGCAGATAAATACTCTGCCTTTGTATAATGTGCCAAATATAAGGAGTTGTGCAAAGGCAAAAGGCAGTGACAGTGTCTGTTACTGCCTTTTACTTTTGCACGACTCCGTATTTTTGTATCATGTGCCAAAAAAGTCAATTTAGTCAAAGTCCAAGGTAAATTTTGAGCTCCATATTTTTTGTATACAAATATTTCTTCTTTAAAGCAACTAGTTGTCAAATGTTGGAAGCCCTACTTGTTATACTTTTGTCTGGATAAAAAATAAACTCTGAAATCATTTTTCTCAGTATCACTCTTTCACCGTCTGGCGAGTTAAAGTTTCGGAGGGCAGTATAGTTGTCTCCTTCGTGATAACTTTAATCTCTACCATGGAACCCTCCACCAGAAAAGTTGCACAATGCACCTTTAAATAGATAATGGGTGTTCAGGGTTAGGGTTAAGATTTTTTAAAGATATAATAGTTACTGTGCATTTTTCTCTGGTAATACACAGCTTGCCTGACCAGCCAGTCTCGTTTACATTCAGTTTAAATCCAAAAAAGACTGAAACTGGACCATAGAGCATTAAAATCCTTTGTCCAAACTTGAGACGATCCAACCAAAACTGCAAATTTGTCTCACGTGTCTCTCAAATGCGGAAAACATCTCCTCTTGAAAATTCTTGTAACATTCAAAACAAAATATATCACTTATTTTACCTGAGATAAGTAAGAGTTTGGAGCTTCAGTTGTTGATTCTGTAAAAATCTGCACGGTTTCTTAGTCCTTCATGTAGTTTTTTTTTTCTCTTTCTTACCTGTAAGCAGCCACACGTCTCTCTGATTGGTTAATCCACCTGTCAGTCACCATCTCTCTGAAATATGGGAGACAGGATACAGCTCCAGATCCACTCGTCTTTGTAAAGTTTTGTCAGAGCGTGTGGTTCTGGCTGGTCAAGTAACTATATAGCTGACAAATCCAGAATGACATCTTTCTTACACGAGTGGGATATGAGTCTGATCGCCACACCAACCAGCAGTTTGAATAAAATTACGCTGAGTTTAGTGCTTCACTCATTGATTCAGTAGAAATACAGTGTTTTCTCCTGTGATATTTTTTTTTCTTTTCCTCATAACCAGCCGTATTTGTTTTGATGCAGATGGAGCATGTGTGTCCCTGATTGGCTAATCCACCCGTCAATCACCCAGAGAGATTCACCAGTGACCAGACTCACATGTTTGTAAGTATTGAAGAATTGTGTTTTCCAACTATACAGCATAAAGTTCTACTAAATAACCAAATAAAAATAACAAAACCTGAAATGTTCCACAGTATTAGTCCAATGAGGTTAATTAGGTCTTCTGATAATTTATGTTATTAGGTTCTTTTTTCAGACCAAGAGTTTCTTTCAACTGCTCGCTCGTGGTCTTCCTCAGAGTGGTCACGTGATTTTGCTGTGAAGTGTCCAGTCAGCTGATTTAAACAGGTTTTGGCACTGTCTTCCTACCGGTGAAGGCAGGACGACAGCACCATCTGCAGTCCAACTTCCTCAGGACAGTATCCCAGGTGTGTGAGAGTAAAAAAGCCCCCGTGCCGGTTTATAGTCCTGTGGGCATGTTTCTGTATTTCGATTGCCTCTTTAATCCAGCAATGGTGTTTGTTTTCCTCTGTTCCAATGGCGTTTGCTCCGTCCCAGTCTTTTACAGTGGTCAGAAAGGCCCGAAATGAGCTGTTTCTGTTTTGCTGCTTTGCGTTTTTTTGCTCGTGTGCACGTCTAGTGAGCAGTCGAAACTGTCAGGTATGAAAACAGACTCTTGGTCTGAAAAAAGAACCTAATAACACAAGTTCTGCAGTATTGCTTTAACATTTTACTAGACACAATCCGATGGTAGATGCTGACTAACTTTGAAGATATCGAGTTATTCTTAAAACGTCCTGTGAACCTCCTCAAAAACATACCTGGAGTTGTTTTTTGCTTCATTCACACATGTTTGAGTAATCCTGTAATATTAGTCTGTCTACATGCGCTCTATTCCACCTTGTGATGTTATGGAGCTGTAGTTTTCAAGTTAACAGCTACTACATTTGGCTTTGGTTTAGTAGAGATTGACAATTCTAGGGCTCAAATCAACCATATGATTCTAGTGAAGGTGTATGGAGTTTGAAAACGACTTGTATTACCACAAGACATAACCCGGTGGAGCAGAGTGTTTTTAATTTGAGAGAAGAACTCTAAGAAAGTCTAAATAAGCAAAGTTTGTGTGTTAAACATGTGTGAAAGAAACAAAATAAAACACAACTCCGGGTATGTTTGTGATGAGGAAGCAACATTTAGACATAGAACAGGAAACAAGTGTAATATGGGCCGTTTAAGACAACATAGCAACACATCAACAACTAAAACACATCTAATAGGGAGAAGCAGATGGTTAGCTTGTCCCTTCAGGCATGCGCTGTATCTCTGAAAATACGGGTTTGAAAATAACACTATTATGTGGCTGTAGCATGGCTGTGGACAGTGATATAAAGTAGTTTGGAGAGAGGGAGTTTTGTGCAGGCAGTCTTTTGAAGTTAGTCCACGTCGTGATTGGATTGAGCTAGTTTGAGCCTTCTGTGTGGAGCGAGTGGGAGTCGAGGTGGAGGAGAGGCTATGTATAGCTCATTATATGTGATGTAACCTGCCCCCAGTTTAAAAACAAGCACATCGCGGCTCCATCTCGTATATTTAGACGCGAAACAATGAGGCCGAGCTAAAACCAAACTGTAAACAAACAAGAAGAAATGTGTCAAGGATTCAACTGTTTTTGTTCAACTTTTCAACAACTTTTATCTCAGATGCAGAGCAGATTGTTTGAAGTAAATAAATGGTGAAAACATGGACTTAGACACGTTTAGAAACATCCAAATACCTACACAATGTACACTGTTTACGCTGTTTAAGTGTAGATTGTAAGGCTAGGACCCAGACTAACGATCTAACTAACCTGGGAGAACTAAACCAGCACTAAACCAGAAATAAACAAAGACTACACAACCAAACCAGGACTAAACTAGGACTAAACCAGGGCTAAACCAGAAATAAACCAGAACTAAACCAGGATTAAAGAGGACTAAACCAGAAGTAAACTATGATTAAACCAGGACTAAACCAGGGCTAAACATGGACTACACAACTAAACCAGTACTAAACCAGGAAGAAAACAGAACTAAACCAGGGCTAAACCAGGGCTAAACAGGGACTATACAACTAAACCAGGACTAATCCAGGGCTAAACAGATACTATACAACTAAACCAGGACTAATCCAGGACTAAACCAGGGCTACACAAGGACTACACATCTAAACCAGGACTAAATCAGGACTAAACAAGGGCTAAACAAGGGTTAAACAGGGACTATACAACTAAACCAGGACTAAACAAGAACTAAACCAGGACTAAATCAGGATTAAACCAGGACTAAACCAGGGCTAAACCAGCACTAAACCAGGACTAAACCAGGGCTAAAAAGGGACTGCACAACTAAACCAAGACTAAAACAGAACTAAACCAGGGCTAAATAGGGACTACACAACTAAACCAGGACTAAACCAGGGCTAAACCAGGGCTAAACCTGGACTACACCACTAAACCAGTGCTAAATCCAGACTAAACCAGGACTAAACTATAAGTAGACAGCTCTTTTAGAGATTTGCTGCATTTCCCATTGCTTCTATAGCCAGTGTTCGAAAATCCTCATTACAAAACTATCGATAGCGCACGGTGAGCACTGTGTCCACACCACGCTTTTTCAGTTGTTTGCCTACTAATTGCGTAATTAGTATTCAACAAGTACAACTGAATCTTTTCCATTATTTACAACCGCAAATGAGAGTCAATAGGCGTTACATAAGAATTAAATAACAGGTCATTTTTTATGTATGCTATCGTGACTTTGTTTCTGTGACTGTAGCAAACAACTGTATAATTGAACAGCTATATTATTTATTATGAGGCACTGGCCACTGCAGGGAGCATATGGATTCAGCATTTATTTCATTACTGGTGCACTTTTATTGCTCCCAAAACCTGTGCTGCAACCTGTACGTTTGACCTGTAATTTGCAACACCATCTGCTTGTCTCTGCTTTGTGTTTTAGAAACTGTCAGGTATGAAAACAAACTCTTGGTCCGAAAAAAGAACCTAATAACATAAGTTCCACAGTATTGTTTTAACATTTTAATAGACACGATCAGATGGTAGACACTGACCAGAAAAATTACATAAAGCGCCTTTAACTTTGAAGATATCGAGTTATTCTTAAAAGGTCCTACATTACGCAAAATGTATCCATGTGAATTTAAAGCTACGTTACCTCATCAAAAACATACCTGTAGGGGCTATAGTTTATTTGTTTTTACATCTGATCAGTGCATTGATTGAAGAGCCAGCCATTTTGGAGAACTGGCCCATCTATTTGTTACAATTATTTTGACCTTGTTTTTGAATTGTATTGATTTTAGTGGAGTTTCAGATAAAAACTAATAAAACAACCAAGAAACAGCACAGGTTTCTGCAGAATCAACAACTGAAGCACCAGTAAAACCTTATTTCTCTCAGGTAAAAAAAAGTCATATATTTTGTAAGTAAACTATGATTAAACCAGGACTAAACCAGGACTAAACAGGGACTACACAACTAAACTAGAACTAAACCAAGACTAAACCAGGGCTAAATAGGGACTACTCAACTAAAGTAGGACTAAACCAGGACTAAACCAGGACCAAACCAGGGCTAAATAGGGACTACTCAACTAAACCAGGACTAAACGGGGACTACACAACTAAACCAGGACTAAACCAAGGCTAAATCAGGACTACACAAGTAAACCAAGACTAAATCAGGGCTAAACAGAGACTAGACAACTAAACCAGACCTCAACCAGGACTAAACCAGGACTAAACAGGAACTACACAACTAAACCAGGACTAACCCAGAACTAAACCAGGACTGAACCAGGACTAAACCAGGGCTAAATCAAAGCTAAATCAGGACTACACAGGTAAACCAGGGCTAAAACAGGGCTAAATAGGGACTACTCAACTAAACCAGGACTAAACGGGGACTACACAACTAAACCAGGACTAAACCAAGGCTAAATCAGGACTACACAAGTAAACCAAGACTAAATCAGGGCTAAACAGAGACTAGACAACTAAACCAGACCTCAACCAGGACTAAACCAGGACTAAACAGGAACTACACAACTAAACCAGGACTAAACCAAGGCTAAATCAGGACTACACAAGTAAACCAAGACTAAATCAGGGCTAAACAGAGACTAGACAACTAAACCAGACCTCAACCAGGACTAAACCAGGACTAAACAGGAACTACACAACTAAACCAGAACTAAACCAGGGCTAAATCAAAGCTAAATCAGGACTACACAAGTAAACCAGGGCTAAACCAGGGCTAAATAGGGACTACTCAACTAAACTAGGACTAAACCAGGACTAAACAGGGACTACACAACTAAACCAGGAACTAAACCAGGGCTAAATCAAAGCTAAATCAGGACTACACAAGTAAACCAGGGCTAAACCAGGGCTAAATAGGGACTACTCAACTAAACTAGGACTAAACCAGGACTAAATAGGGACTCCTCAACTAAAGTAGGACTAAATAGGGACTACACAACTAAACCAGGACTAAACCAAGGCTAAATCAGGACTACACAAGTAAACCAGGACTAAACCAGGGCTAAACAGGGACTACACAACTAAACCAGACCTCAACCAGGACTAAACCAGGACTAAACAGGAACTACACAACTAAAACAGGACTAAAACAGGGCTAAACCAGGGCTAAACAGGGACTACACAATTAAACCAGAACTAAACCATAAGTAATCCAGGACTAAACTACAAGCAGACATCTCTTTTAGAGATTTGCTGCATTTCCCATTGCTGCTATAGCGAGTGTTAGAAAATCCTCATTACAAAAATATCGACTGAGCACCGTGAACTCTGTGTCCACGCCATGCTTTTTCATTTGTCATATATTTTGTTCTGAATTATACAAGAATTTTCAAGAAGAGATGTCTTCCGCATTTGAGAGACACATGCTATTCGAGGATGTGGTTGGACAGAGGTTTTTCACGCTCTATGGTCTGATTCTAGACTAACGCAGAAGGGACTGGCTGGTCAGGCAAGAAAGACACTGTATTTCAATTTGAACTGAGACAACGGGGCACTGTTGCCATGCCAAATCCTTAAAATCAGGAAGAAATTAGTCTGCCTGAAACCACTGCTACCCATGCACACTTGTATAACACCAAGGACAAAACACTTACCACAGTTTGGTGATTGACTTGAATGACCTCATCTCCCGCGTGGATCTTCTTACAGCGGTCCGCCGGCGACTGGAGACATGAAACAGAAGAGACAAGAGCCAGAGTCAGACACAGAGAAAATACATTGATCTGAAAGTATCGACCTAAAGTACGAGCAGTGGAGTGAAAGTTTTACAACAGGGCCCCGAGCAGAGGAAGCATTCCCTGTGGAGTTTATCTGCTTTTATAAACACAGGCTGGTGCTTCTTCAGGCATAGACAAAATAAATGGAAATGGCTTCACTTCTTTGCACATTAAATTGAAGCTGAAGGAAATGCTTGCAGTCACAGCTTTCAATCCCAAATAAAGTGCATTATGCAACTTTTCTATAGTGTGAAAGTGTGTGAAAGACACTATGGCTTTAAAGGTCCTATATTACGCAAAATGGACTCTTGAGTTTTAAGCCATTTTATAAAGTTGTAACCTCCTCAAAAACATACCTGAGTTTTGTTTCATTCACACATGTTTGAAAAACCATTTATCATTAGTCTGTCTACACCTGCAATGCTCAGAATGCTCTGTTCCACTTTGTGATGTCATGAAGCAGTGTTTTTCAAGTTAACAGCTGCCTTTTACCTTAAATTCAGTAGATATAGGCAATTCCAGGTCTGAAATTATCTGAATAATTCTAGTGAAGGTGTATGGAGTTTAAAAACACAGTGGAGCTCTTCCTATATTAACCACATGACATCACAAGGTGGAACAGAGTGCTTTCTGGTTGAGAACTCAGCCTAAATATGCAGGGTTTGTGTGTTAAACATGTGTGAATGAAACAAAACATAGCACAATATGGGACCTTTAAACTACGGTTTATCAATCTCTATGGAGGCAAGTAGTTGATGTAAGCAGGCCAAGTTACAGGTCAGATCTGTGAAAAGGTGGGCCAGCTCACAGTAAGAATGAATGTGTAGCAACATCTATAATAGTACTAGCATAATGCCATACAGTGGAGCATTCTCTAGGCAGTATCTATATGGATGGCCAAAGAGTTATAATTATTATTTATTATGCCTTTGTTAGTGTTTTTTACTCAGTTATTTAGAGCAAAATTGTCTTTAACATTGTCTTTTTTTTTGCTAAGAAATTCTCTGTGAAGCCATCGGGCATGCTGTATAAGATTTTGGACAGCACAGATACTATATTTCATCTACATTGTTAACTGTATATGTTTTCTGTTTGTTAAATTGCTGTAATTTTGTCCCATGTGTGTTCCAACATTTGGTGATAAGCAGCAGTCTTAAAGGCCTAGTGAGTTTCATCTGATGATTCATCCTCTGTTTTGTGCGAGTGGTGATCAAGGCTTTAAGTGGATTATGGGTGATTTCTGTCCAACTGTGATAAAGTTCTGCAATATTTGATTTAGTTTTCAGACTGGTGCAGACCTCTACTGCTGTCTGATGAGAAGCTGTAGCCTTTGTTCAGGCTTAAGGAAATGAGCAACACATATTCTAACATTTTAAAACACTGAATATGATATACACTATGTCAGTGTAGTGTCATGGTACTTAAAGGTGCATTGTGTAACTTTTCTGGTGGAGGGTCACTCAATTTACAGTACTGGATTAAACCTTTATCTTCATGGAAACCAAACCAGACCACGTTACAGGTCAGATCTGTGGAGAGGCAACCACACTCACAGCCAAAATGCCTGATTTTGTAGGTATTTTGGAGCAATGAAACCACCTGTAATAGAATAAATGTAAGATAAAGCGGTTTAATGTCATACAGTCATAATGTATTCATTTCATTCCAGGTACAGCAACGACAAATCCATCAAAACAAGCCAAACCAAAAAGTTACACAGTGCACTTTTAAACTCGATTTTAGTACTAAGGAATTCAGTTCAGTCAGTGCTCAACACTGATTACCGATAGATAAAAAAATGAGACATTTTTGTAAAACAATGTAAATTTCACATACAAAATAATACTATTTTCTTGATGTTAGCATCAGCTCTTATACTTAAACTGCTCAGGAAAGCTCAATACTTCAACAACATAAACACAGAACACAGAAAAACAGAACGGTAACCAACTTGCAAGATATTGTAAAGTGGTAAAAATAAAGTCGATAATAACCAAGTCCAACATTTTCACAGTCACTTCCCCTTTTTAGCACCCAAAGCCCCAGTAAATGTTAAAGGGGAAGTTACAACTACCATAGGTTATGTGTTTTCTGTGGTCTAAGTTTTATAGAAGTAAACATTATTAAAACTGAATGGATTTTACTATGATAACTTAATATGGTATAAATCTGCACTAAAAAACTAAAAGCTTCATGAAAACAAAAATAAGCATAATGCTGATGTGCAACAGGTTCATTGTAAACTGCACATGTGTGATCACAGTTTTTAAACACTTCAAGAATTGGAGGTTCCCTTTTTGATAACTGCGAGACCAAGAAAAAAAAATAATCAGCAAGAATCAGACTCCTTAAAAAAAGGAAGTCTCTGTGAAGCTGCAGATCAAATGATGGACATCTACGAAAACACACTGGAGTGTGTCCAAAAGGACAAAAGATCACTTAGAACCATATTAAGACGAACCAGAAGATCAATTGAAACCACTGATCAAGAGGAGGAGGCGGGATGCTGGATCAAGTGGAACATGGATGCTGCAGACACAGGTCAGAGTCAAATCAACTTATTTTATTAACAGAACTGTATGTAGCCTGCACTCTTAAAGTTTTTAAAACAGGCACTACAATCATAGCTGAACATCAGTTGCCAGTACCTAAACCTACAGAAAGAAGAGACATACAAGTTTTTCTTATTACAACTTTATGACTGTGCATCATGTGACAGTTTAGAGGCTGCAGGAGCTGGGGTTTGGGCGGTGAAGAGTCAGATCAGAAGTTTTTTTTTTTTGTTTTCAATCAATTATATTTCTCGAACTAGCAACCCAAAATGAGAGTGGCATGTGAGGCTCAATTTGCTTTATGATTGGATTATTTGAGAACCAAAACACCTATAACATCAACTTTTATAATTAAGAATACATCAGTAAAAGCTCTTTTTGATTTTAAAATGTTCTGTGGACCCAGATGGTTCATGTTTATGGAATTTAAAATCAAAATCTTACATATGGTTCCTTAAATGTGCACTATGTAACCTTCGCTGGGGTCTGTTACCTGCTTGTTTCTAAGGATCTGTCATTGCTTTGACTGGAATGTTCCACAGTATGACATTAAACAGCTCTACCTTACATTTATTCAATGACAGGTAGTTTTATTGTTCAAAAATAAGAAACAGGTATTCTGACTGTGAGCGAATTCGCCTCTCCACAGATCTGACCTTTAACATTAGATTTACAAAGCTGAGTTTCTTCAACAGGAGGAAGAGTGATGAAACTGGTCATACTCGGCTTCGGAGTCTTGTGCATCCTACAAGCTTCTCTCAATGTCGCCCTACGTCTCGGTCAATGTGAGCACTTTTTATGTGTTACAACAAAGATTTCCATAAATATTCCAAATGATTTTGGTAAGTGAAGATAATTAAAGTTTTATGGTGTCCACCCTAGCCTGTATAAACCTGTCTGAAGAGATAAATGAACAGCAGAAAATCTATTCAAGTGAGTAAAATGTACAAAGGGGATAATTTTGATGTCTGATTCTGTTTTTGTTACTTTTGACAAAATAAAATAACACAAACATACAAATTTGCACAATGCGGATCAGTGGTTCCCAACCTTTTTGTCTCGATTACCTCTAACAGTTTGTCTCACACATTAAGTACCTTCTTTACCATTTAATGGTGTTTCTTTAGTGATTATACATCGGGTTACTAGTGATTTTAACTATTATGTTTTCTAGATGGTTCCAGCCGTGGTCATCTGGACACTTTGTTGCAGTCAAGACATTTCAAGATATTTCCAAAACATCTTGATCACAAAAACAGTGTCCATATGATCTCATTGAAACTGTCCATACACTGAACCAGGCCTGGACAAATGAAGGATTACACTATTATATTTTCTTGCTTTAAGAAACCAAATTCCAAAATGATCCTACAAAAGTGTAGTACAACAAATATTTTACATTCAAATACCATTCAATTCCACCTTGCTCGCACGTCCTCGTGCCTCTGGTTGGGAAACACTGATGTAGATGATGCATTTTGATTTCTTATAATTAATGAAAGTACATGTTGCCAATTTTGACAGTCCTTAACATGAGTCACCACAACCTGTCTGAAGAAAGAGATGAGCTACAGAAAATGTATTCAAGTGAGTACAACTGAATTACATACATGTTTAAATCTTTACGCATGTGTAGGTCTAATAATTATGCTTTTTCACAGTCCTAATGGCCGAAAAAAAAAGTCTGCTAGAAGAGAAAGAGGAACTACAGACCATAAATTCCTGTAAGTAGAAACTGTGAAGAAAAAAAAGTGTAATAGACTCTTTGGCACTTTGCATTGTTTGGAACTTGGAACTGGTATGAACAGCTCTACCACAGCTGCCATTAGAGCTAATAATGCCTGTAAAAAAGCTGTGACTCCTAAAAACTAAACACTAAACACCTAAACTCCGCCCACAATCGCAAATAAGTTGCTAAATTGGGCAGCACCTGGAGGTTTAAAGGGGCAGGGTCTGGAGGACAGTGTTATTGCTCTAGCAGGTATCCAAGATTCAAAATCTGCTCCGTCTATAATGAGAAACAACTGGCTTTAATATCAGGGAAGTTCTGCGTGATGTCATGTAGTACTCAGAAACTAGAAGCAGCACACACTCAGTTTTTGATACAAAGCTGCAAATGTACATAGTTTGCATTAAAATTATCCAAAAAAAAAATTTTTTAAGTGTTTAGCTCCACTTTAATTGCACAGCGAAAGATGTTTAGCACCTTTAGGATGGAGGGTTTTTGAAATCTATGAAAAGTTTGCCCAATATATATACATGTTGATTTCTTACACTTAATGAAATAGATGTTTTTTGACAGTCCTTAACATGTCTCATGTGTTACATATTTTATGTAATAATATAAGACAAACTCAGCAGTAATATGAGTTATGTTATTAGTGTTTAAAATCATCACTATGAATCAGCGTACACATGCACAATAGTAGAAATCATCTGTGTATAATATTTTCTAAGTAAAGAACTAGAGACACATTTGATTAAAAATTTATGAATATATGTGGATGTCTCTCAGTCCTTAACACGAGTCACCAAAACCTGTCTGAAGAAAGAGATGAGCTGCAGAGACTATATTCAGGTAAGTAAAATGTGTGCACTCATTAATAGTGTGTTTGTCCAAGGAATTATTTTAACATGTGCAGAATTAACTTAGTAAATTAACTGGAAACGTTTTTAACACATGGCAGCAATAGGTTTCCATATTTCTGTGATACAGATCTTGGTTCTCAAATTGGTGATTGGACGTTTTATCCCCAGTACTGTGCAGGTTCATTGGATTTTTAAAAAATTGTATTTATTTATTTTTTTACCAGTAGATGGCAGATGTGAAATGTGTTCCACTTTCAGACAGCAGTAATGTAGAAAACATCTAGTGGTGAAGTGTGAGAATAAAACATCATCTATTTATTTTTTTTCCTAGCCCTGATGACAAGTCTTAAAAACCTACAGAAAGAAAAGGACGAGTTACAGAACCTTCACAGTGCAGCAGGGTCAGAACAGTGACAGAGACATTACATGCTGTTTTAGCCTCTGTTTGTAAAGACAGTGTATTTTTTCACCATATTATTTATGTTTGAGGCCTATAAAAACACAAGAAGTCTGCGCAAAGCTCATGGCTACTTAACATATGTAAACAAGTCAGCGCATTTGGGCCTGCTTCTCCTCCCAATTTGAAAGTTTAATTTTCAATTTAAGTCTCTGGGAGAGGAAAAATAAATACTATCTCTACTTAAAAATGCCTGGATTGGCGGTCGATAATGATACCAGAATCAGATCAGGACACCCCTTGTACATAAGTCATGATAAAGAAATATATATGTAATATTACAATGTGCCTGTTTGTTTAGTCTTAAATACCAGTTACCAAAACCTGACTGAAGAAAACCAAGAGCAACAGGAAGAGTATTCATGTGAGTATAATGTGTGAAACAATATTTATTTGACTTTTTGGCTGTTTGATTGTGTATGAATTATTACAGATCTCTGCTCTTTAATTTAACTGGCTGTGGCATGTTTACTCCCATGCAGTCTATAATGTTACATACTACAAATGTCGACTTTATCTGAACGTTATTACAACAATAAAAACATATTTTGAATGTATAATTTCTCACAATTTCTCATATTGCCAATTTTTACAGTTCTTAACATGAGTTACAGAAATCTGTCTGAAGAGGTGCAGAGACTTTATTCATGTGAGTAAAATGTGTGCACTCATTAAGTTTGTTTGTCTTTTCTGTCTCCATGTACTGTAAGTCCGCTCATTAACAAATAACAATAAATAAATAAATTACCCATTTTCCATATAAAAAGTAAACGTGGGCTAAAATCCTTTTTATTACCCTCAGGGGGCATCAAAAATGAGTAATTACCATGCTTGTAACATGTTTTTAGTTTATGTGTATGGGCAGTATGTAGTTTAAAGTATTGTTTTCTCCCATAGACTTCCATTATAAGCAACAGACAGTTCAACCCATGTTGTGTATATATGGAGACACAACTTTTTTGATTGCTCTGTGGGGACACTGTAAAATAACAATTTTCTGAGTATTTTTCTTTTCCTCTTTTCAGAAGCTATCAAATATGTGATTTTTATAGTTCACACTGAAATTATTGCATTTACCTGTTAAACAGACCTCCATGAAAAGAGGGCTATAACAGAGGGCTGTTCAAATGGGGGTAGCCTCTTAATTTACATATAAAGCATTACACAGTTACATATAAATCTAAATGAAACAATAAAACATATTAAGGTGCAGGTTCTTGTGAGTATAAAAAATTTCTTCCAATAACCTGCAAAAAGAAAAAATCAAGCTGAACAACAGTACAGATGTAAGTCTACAACAGTATTGTGTATAAGTCACTGATCAAAGAGATTAAGTGTAGGCTATGCTGTTGTCTGCCCCAGTCTTACAAACCAGAGATGAAAACAATTCTGAAGAAAAAAATATGCTCCTTGCCAAACTGCAAAAAATACATAGCCTACACAACATAGATGTTTTTTTGTTTTGTTTTTAATATAGTTAACTTTTGTGTGGTATTTTAATGCATTTTAGCATTAGAGCATGCCTGGTTATACTTCAAAGGAAGCTTCTACATTGTTCCAACCAAAATCGTTCCTGGGAGGACAGCAGGTCTTTCTGTCAGCAACAAGGTGCAGATCTCATCATCATCAACAATGAAGAGGAGCAGGTTTGTTCTACACTTGGCTACAGTTCATGGCAAACACTACCGGTTACATGAAAAAAACGTAATTTTTATTTTGGGCAGAATTTTGTTAAAGTATATGGAGGGCGCAGATGGATCGGACTGAGTGATCGTGAGACTGAAGGAGTTTGGGAATGGGTGGATGGATCTTCACTCACGTTAAGGTTTGTATACCCAGGGCAGCGGCACCCAGGGAGTCACACAGGGTGCTTCTGTGTCACAAACATAAACAGGTGATGAACTAATAAGTCTATAGATTTAATAGCTTGAAAATTGTGACAAAGTGCAACACATTTTAGCTGAATTCTTATAGAAGCAACAGGACGTGAGGTCTTGGCAAAAATACCAAACTTTAGGCTATTTATTACTGCAGGTGGCGGCAGGACAGGCACCATCAGAAATCTCATCTAGGGCACCAAAAGAGCTAGAGTTGGCCCTGTGAATACTGTCCTTTTCTGTTTAGTTTCTGTTTAATAGTTTGTTTGTCTTTTTCATTTTAGTTCTTGGCTGTCAGGGGAACCAAATGATGCAAATGGTAATGAAGACTGCGGTGAAATTTCAATGCGTGATAATGGCGACTGGAAACTGAATGATCTGTCCTGTAATAATAAACAGGGCTGTATATGTGAAATGAAACATTTGTAAGGAATTGAATGTGTTACTGAAGATTGTTCATCACTCAGCCAAAAGATAAGAGTCAGATTTGTGGAGAGGCAAGCCCACTCAGAGTAAGGAGGCATGTTCATTGTTCATTTCTTATTTTGCAATGTACACATCACAAATGAAAAAAAACAAAACAAAAAAAAAACAATAAGAATGCATTTTGTCATTTCTTTTGGACATATATGTTTTACTGTAAACTTATTTTTGCACATGTTTTCCAGATTATTTTTAAACTGCAAGTGGTAAATAAACTCAGCTAATAAAACTGTTGTACATGGTAGTATTTTGAGTCTCTTACCCCTTCGGTGGTCCCTGTTATGACGTGCAGACCATCGTAAGTCGACTTGATGTACATTCCCTTAAAAAGACAAGCATAAAGATATTACTGCACATGTTCAGAGTGGCCCATTAGACCTTTTCTCATGCAAATCTCAAAGCTCTTGTTTACCCTTGTTTTGCCCCTGTTCATTTTAATAGCCTATATAAATGCATGGCTTTTACAGCACACTGAAGAAGTCCATTGAATTAATTTCTGGATGGGAGAGCACAGACTTCGAGCGCGTACTGTGTGGCCAGATTGTAATAGCTCTGTGAGATTTTTATGGAAATGTGTCTTGATAAAAAGCAGTATGCATGCGGTGTATCAAAGTGGATAATCTTCACAGGGGGTGGAGAGAGGGAGAGATCATTACCAAGCCTTCGGAGGGTTTGATGTTGGTGAGGTGCACCAGCTCCAGGTGGGCCGACTGCGAAACCAGAGGGTCCGAAGACACGCACACGATATGTTCACACACCTCTGACAGCGTTTTGCACTGGGGGAAGAATAAGGTAGCATGAAGTTAACAAAATACAGTCAAAGGGTGGTGAAATATACACCCGCATGATTTGGGGAAAATGTCTCGTTGTGATATTTTCTGATCTGTGTTATAATAATGTTGTTTAGTCATCAAAAAACATACCTGGAGTTGTGTTTTGTTTCATTCACACGTTTAGCACACAAATCTTGTACTACCTGTATCCTGTACTATATCATGTGGTAATACAGGAAGTGCTCCACTGTGTTTTTAAACTCCTCACACCTCCACACCCAGATATAATTGCCAATCTTAATCTTAATCAAAAAGTAGCTCTTAATTTGCATTTCGAGCTTTGGCAATGTAGACAGATCAATAATAAAAACTTACTCAAGTAATCTGAGTACTATAAAAGTAGTTAAACCTCACATAAAAAACACAACACAGACACAATTTTACTTCATCTGAATAGTCTAGAGATCTATATGAAATATCATGGTGCTTGAAAAAATACTATTTGTGGTTAAAATATTGTGTTTTTTTTTTATTTTTCACATTGCGGTATCGAAATTTATATTGAGTTACAAGCCTCTTCAAAATAAAGTTTAGTATTGTGACTCCTCTGTGGCTACAAGGTATTTTGGAAGCCACAGCGGCCCTGGGGCATACTGAGGCACTGTTGCTAACCTGTGCAAAAATATTGAAATAGCAATATATCGTATCATTTAATGTGATGATACAGTATCGATATCATGGGCTGCTGTATCGATATATCACCAATAGTATTTTTTTGTTTATTTTACTCAATTATTTTGTTACAGTGCTACAGTTCTGTCGCTTGTTTAGAGGAAGGAAACTCAACACATGTTTGTGCTTCATATTCACTTTGAACAAGAAGTGGTTTAACAAAGACTTTTAATATCACAGCCGTGATTTAGTTTTCATTTTTACTGAAGTGTATCAAGTTGATTTAAAATATATTGTATCAAATCGAAAGTGCACTGTATCTAGAAATGCATCTTATCGTGGCCTATGTATCGAGGTATGTATCGTATCGGCAACTTCTTAATGATACCCAGTTCTAGACCCCGACCACCATTAGTCAAACAAACCTGCAATGTCTAAATTTACAATAGGAAATGTTGGCAGCAGGGATTACATGGAGCATTGCTAAGATAGTAATGTTATTCTCCATGAATCTTTACTAACAAATAAGTAGGTTGTTAGGTTACTTTTCTTCATAGTAACATTGTGTATGTAAGTCTATTCTATGTAGTAAAGACATCCCTGCTGAAAATGACATTCGGTCTCAAGAGGCAAACCTATAAATGATTAATACAATTTCAGTGTGGCAAGCTGCAGATTTTCATGTACATGTTTTTATTGTGAAAAAATGACTCGGCCTACGTGACATCTTGAACCACACATGACCTAAAGTATAAATTTTTCAAATAATCACGGTCACATAACGTACAGGGGATGTGTGAGGATAGGGGGAAGGTGAAAACAGACATTTTCAAAGCACTCAAGCCTCATGCAGAATTACTCAAACATGCGTAATTCAATCAAAATAAAACTTTCAGTAAGATAATGATGAAGGAACAATATTATAAACTAAAAAAAGCAGCATTATAGATATCTTATGCCACCATATTTTAATTAGACCTAAGTAATTCCAATCTAATGCAGAGACATGATGTTCACGTGGCCCTATGTTTAGCTTTGTCATTCACACATAATTCATCGCTAATCGTGTCACATTAGCTGGTTGTCACGGCGCGTTACTACGGATACAGTCATTTTCACACAGGCCTTCGCTAACCACGTTAGCTCCATCTGTCGACACTGTGGTTCAGCGGAGAACTGTGTAACCTGATTTGTTTGGGGACATTGTTTACTACCATCTCTACAAGTCTCATTACAGTAATTAGCACTAAACAGACTATTCTGGATCTGGAAGAATACTGTATGTGTAAATCGGGATTCAACATATTACCCATTTCAGAATCGTTGTTATGGTGACTGTGAATAAAATATGGCCATAATTAAGTTAATTCACTTAAAGCTGCACTATGTAACTTTCTAATGGAGGGTCTGGGCACCTGTTTGTCTTCATGGAGATTGTAATGCTTGGTTTAGAATAGGGATTTCCAACCTATAGCTCTCCACCCTTTTCCAAGAATCTCACCAAGGGATTTCTGAATTATACGCATTGCTATTGTAAATGTATAATTTCGAGGCCTAACATTGTGCACTAATAAAGTGGTAATTTTTATTTCATAAACATCTAACTGTACCCCATCTAAAGCATTTATATTTGCTCAATTTCTTGCGACCGCTAAAATGAGTAGCTCTCGGGCACTTTCACTTCGTAGGTCGCTAGCTCATTGGGGGAAAAAGAGACCCCTGGACTAGAATGTACCACACTTGTCTCTCTCCATGGAAAGTAGCAGGTGACACCACCAGTATGTTTATCTGGGGGGGTTAGCAACAGTAACACCGGTAATTGATTAATTCAAGAATGGAACATTCTAGCCTGAGTCGGTTTCACTTTGTGGAAACCGTCTGACCTCGCAGTATTTAGGATTCGCTCATTCAGTGGTAGGCGGGTACTTTTTTATTTAACCAATCGCTGCTATTTGGTGGTGACATATGTAACGTGCCAAATCCCGTAGAAAGAAGATCAATAACGTCTTTCCTCTTGATAAAATTCAGTTAACATTCTCTTTGTTCCGGTTTTAAATCCTGGATCTCAGGAATCGTTGCCAACACAGAACGTCGGGCTTCGTCTACATCCATCTCGACCGCTTTGTTTACTGTTGTGCTGTACCACAAAAGGGAAGCAGACAGGCGCTTGAGTTTGACATCATGGCTTCACAGCTCTTCGCTGATTGGCCGGATGTGTGGTCTACAACTTCCGAGGTTCTTGCAAACCATTTAGTGTATTTCGATTCCTGACCTAGTCGCTGGACAGAAATGAAATTGAGCAGAGGCACTAGGTGGCACCGGCCTGGCTAGGATCATTCCAGGCAATGCAAAAACTCCATGGAGACATAAAAAAATTACATTGTGCCGCTTTAAATGCATGTTTGTAATCTTTCTTTTTACTTTGACACATCATATATTCTGTCTTATTAATAGACATGTTGAAGTTCCCATTTTTAGATACCTGAACTACAAACACTGCCTACTCATCATGTTTTTTGAGGCAAACCTGAAAAAGTACAATTAATTCTGAATAATATCATAACAATTCAATACATGCCTGTTAATCTGTTCTCATACTTCATTTAGTCTTTTTGGTACAACACCAGCACTCATTTAAACAACACACTGAAAAAATAAATAAATATAAGTCTGAACAGCTGCACTCACCACATGAAGGATCTTGTTCTCGGTCTCAAACACAGTACAGTCCTATGGGGAAAGCAGAGTTTAAAGTGAAAGCATCAGAGCCTCCTCCTGTGTCTTTGAACATTACTCGCTCCATACAGCTACGCCACTAGAGATTACATATTACTCATGTATGTAACCATCCCATCTGTGTACAGCGTATTTTTTTATATTGTTGTAAATACATAACACTAGACCTGTCAGACTCAATCAACATAACAATGAATCAAGATTATGTTTCTTTTTTGTTTATTTTGCAACTATGGTATGCTTTTTATTTGCACAGGGGCAGTGCACAACAATACTTGAACCAAAATAAAAGCCACAGGAGAGATCTATATAGATAAAGAGACCTGTGGCGATAATTACAACAATAATCAATTGAATTGTAAGGCTCAAAATTCATGTGTATCATATTATATTTAAGTAAAGTGGGGTATTTTTGTTGTAATATAAAAATACAAAAGACTTCTATGGCTAATTATTGCTATTTGTTGTATCTGTTGAAGCTGAAGTTGAAGTCAGGCTTTTTAGTGATATAGTGTATTTAAAAATGGCTTAGTAGGATTATCCTGGATCATTGTTATTGTGTCATAAAGCGATATTATTGTTTATTGTAATATTTCTCTGTAGCATATTGTGCTTCAATACTTGCTGTTGTGACCAAAGATAGATAAACTGCCTATAAAAAATTAAACATATTACCCAGTGTCAGATTGTTCAAATACTATTCTAAAAACAACATTTGACCGTATACATGAGCACATACAGTCTTACCCATTCCCTTTAATCCCTTCACCCTCCATAAACTGGAGGTGTTTTAATGGCATCATGTACTGTTCCTAGTCGGGCTGAAAGATTTTAAGAAAAAATTGAATTGCAATTTTTCTGGCAGATATTACGATTTAAATTTCATCCGCAATTTTTGTCAAATCAAGTTCATGAACATTTGCAAACATCACAGAATCTTACATCATACCAGAGTCCTGCTTCTATCACGTTGGAGATGGTTCATGTTAAACTTTACACTAACGGCAGGTTTAAATAGTAGTGTCCTCGTGTTGTGGACGTGAATTATTTCGAGGCGTATAAACCTCAATGCAGATTCATAAAGGAGCACTGCAAAAAAATGCAGCTTTGACGATCCCAAAATCATGCTGTTTGAGATTGCGATTTTCGGTCCAAAACGTTAGATCGTTCAGCCCTAGTTCCTTTTATTTTGGTAATTTTTGTGTAAACTAGACTAAATTCTCATATTTGTCACTGTAATTTCAAGTACTATATGACATCACGCAAGACTACCCTGATACAGACAGGTGTTTCTGATACAAACACCTGGCTTCAGCTGCGCAGATTGAAGTGTGGATCCCTGTTAGAGCAATCACAATGTTTCTTACATCTCTAATCCCCGCACCTCCTCCTCTCTCAATCTCTTCTTTAGTCTCCAGGTACTGCCCAGTTTAGCAGCTTTATTTGAAATGTGGTTGTGGGCGGGTTGAGGTGCTTAGTCCCACTTTAATTTTACTTTATCATCCAGAAAGTTAGATTTCAACTAGTTACACCCTACTTTTTTATATTGTTTTAAAATGCAGCCGAAGAGCTACAGTGTGTCCAAAATAAGCCTGCTCTATATTTTTTCACTGTCTGGGCTCTGCTGCTCTATACATTCATCTGTTTCCTTTAGCGCCCACACAAACAGGCACTTTATATTTGTATGTTTTATTGATACATTTTTAACCAGATGCCAGTCACATAAAGAGACAGTAGAGCAAAAATAGCAAGGATCTAACTCAAGGCTCTCCTCTGTCTGCAGCAGCTCGCCCACACAACCTTATCTTCTGAGAATATGACCAACCACAGCACATTTGAAAGCTTAAGAGCCATCACCGGGCCTTTGCTGTATTGAGTTTTCAATTATTAAACACCATTTTACTATACATATTGCAAAGAATACTATAGGGTCATGTCCATGTGGCGGATAATGGGAGGGAGAGGAGGTGTAGACCTTTTCAATCTGGGTTACACTTCGCTTAATGGTGGTAATAAAAATTGTATGTTGAGTCTATAGATTTGAATCTTGTCACGATACTAAAATTTCAAACTAGCCCTCGATAGAAATCGTTAAATGCCCACTATCTTTGTCCTATCTTGATAATGCTTGTGTTTTTGAGAGAGATATTACTATAAAGATAAGTTTCTAATCTCATCTACACAGTGAGGAGGCTAAAAACAATTAAAAACAAAATAGTACATCTTTTGAATGTGAATGTTGCATACAGAAGAGAGCTGAAATCCATGAACAGAAATGGGTAAATGTCCCTATCTTTATAATACTAGTGTTTTTGATAGCGCTATTGTTATGAAGATATGTTTCCATCTCTTAGCACAGTGATGAGGCTGCACTCACCTGCTGTACAATGGTGGTGAGCTCCAGACACAGCTGAATGACATTATTACGAGTTACGGAGTAGTCCGCCACAGCAGCAAATGGAGACCTGAGGAGCAGAGATAAGAAAAGGGAAAGAGAGACTGTCATTGAGCTGTTAGATACAAGACGAGAGGAGAGGGACAATACACAGACAGAACAGACAGGAAATCACATAGGATCTGCTGTTGGTTTCATAGAGTGTATAGAACAGAGCAATGATTTGTCTTGATAGCCCCTTTGTCTCACATTCAGAGTACCTCCTAACTTTGGGGTTCTAAAATCTGTTTACCATATTTTTCGGACAATAGGGCACACCGGGTTATAAGGCGCAATATCAGTAATGTTTAATTCTCTCATCTATTTTCATACATAAGGCGCACCAGATTATAAGGCACATTAAGCGAAACAAATGGATGACTGATACCTTAGCCCAGGCATACACGATCCAATGGCAGATTGCCAATGGATTCGCCCGGTGTTGTCTCCCTGTCTTGGTGAATGTGTATTATGAATGTGAATGTGGGTGGATAATGTTTGTTTTTTAAATTTCCTACGATGAGGACCTATGCGATGCTAGAGGCTTTTTACACCAAATGTGGCAGCAAATGCAGCAGAGGACCTTCCAGAGGAAATATGGTTTATTTCATCATACCAAAACAGAGCAGAGTGCGAGTGAGGCTTAGAAGAGGCTTTCCTGTTATGGTCCAAAGTTCCCCTGGCTCCCCCCGAATCACAACTGACGTCCGAGTTGCAGGACACAGAGGAGGGACACTTTAGGCCAGAGGGCTGTTCCTCTCCTGAAACTGCCCTGCCACAGATCTGATCTACCTGACCAGTCCTCCTGTGAAACTGCACTGTGATCTTTGATTGAGACACAAAGGCCACTTAGAAACGCAGTGTAAATGTTATAGTAGAAAAACTTTAATTTCCTTTGGGATCAATAAAGAATCCATCTATCCATATTCTTGTGGCAGGGATATTGATGTTTGTCCCCAGGGCTTTTCTTCCTGCTGCTGTCAGACTGTACAATGAACTCTTACAGCTCTGTTCATGTGTCATCCACCTTTCGTAATCATGTGCACTACTGTAACATAATATGAATCATCACCTGTAAAACACACTCGAGTCACTGATTCTGTTTGTGCTGCACTGTTCACAATCATAGAGAGATTTACTGTATATAATCGTAGCCCTTGACTTTATGTTTTTATACTTGCACAGTGTTGTACATCATAATATTTATTTATCTTGATTTTTGAGTTTCTATGCTATTGTTCTTAAACTGAGTTGCAACATTGAACTTTCACCATTGTAGGACAAATAAAGGTTTTCTTATCTTATGTCTAAAATGTTTCTAAAACATTATAAATTTGACTCTAAAGAACGTTTTACTTTTAAATGCTACTAAATTTCACCTTCTTTTTAAGTCTACAATTATTCCTAGTACTCTATGTGCTCAAGGCAATATCATTCAGTCACAGTTAATTTATTTTTTTTCAAATAGATGATTTTAAAATAGACTTATGTAAGAGGCGTTTTCCTGAACTAGAAGAAATAATACTCTACAAGCTCTGTAATTAATAATCAAATACATGTAAATACTAAAGTCCCATAATGGACTTCTAAATATCCATTGTTTCAAATCCAAAAATGTAAATTTTGTCTTCTTTTGTACATAAAAGGTGCACTGCGCAACTTTCTTTTAAAGGGTTCAATACTTACTTGTCTCCATGGAGATGTTATGAGATGTTATTGCTTTTTCTGGAATGGTCCATGACATGACTTTGAACATATCCATCTAACATTTATTCATTACGGATGTTTTATGATGTGAATAGGGGTGACTCTCCACTTGTCTCTCTTGTGATAGACAGGTTTAATCTACACTGTTGAAATGTTACACAGTGCACAGTTTTTAAAGACAATAGACAGATGTGTTTACCTTGTTGGCTGCTAGCTGCAAGCCATCTTCAGAACTGTCACCAACTGTGGCAACCAACACCAGTGACAGTTCTGAATATGGCTTCCAGCAAGCAGCGGAAAACATGTCAACAAGGTAAATACAGCTCTACTGTTTTGTGTTAAAAAAAATAAAAAAAACAGGACGTTAATCCATTGTTTCAGTTACAATACATTTGATTTTGTTGCATTGATTGTAATTACATCATATGATAGTGGCTTTTTAAATTTAAAGCTGCATTCATCTTATAACCAGATATACTATTTCATTAAATCATATTGTCACAAACCAATACGTCATAATCAAGTAATATATGGCTATAAACTGTGATATATATTGCACTTCAAATAACCCTCTTTCAGTCATGACCAAATGCACATTAAAGAAAAGCTCCATTTGATTATTACATTCGCTCCTTTGGTTTGGGGCTGTAGATTTCCTCTATAATTTAATGGCATATTGAGTACATCTGAGCGCACTTGACAGTTAAGGGGCCACTGGAGCAATCAGAGTCTGACGTGGGGTTTATTTAAGTCAGGCTTTGTGGAGCTGGTTCACACACAGGAACCAGGACAGTGTCCCAGAGGAGGGAGGCAAACTGGACCAGGTAAGTGGGACAGGAGGAGCTGGGAGCAAAGATAGTATAATAGTTTGGGGTTGCCAAGTTTGTTTTAAAGAAGACCTGTGACTTTTCAGAGCTTTTAACCATGTTATAGTTGTTGCACATCAGTATTTACTCACCCGAAGTTGTATTTGGAGTCATTTGTTCATGTTACAGCCATCTTTAACTGCGCCATTTTGCCGATCAACCCCCATTGTCACCGATATACGCCAACTGTTCTGTACTTACTTCTTTCTCTAATTTCATTTTCTTAATCAGTGATACGTGCAGAAATGGGCAGCATCACATAGTTATTTTGGTACAAATGAAAGAAACAATCTGCAGCTAGTGTAATGTGCAGCTATCCATCAAAGGGGCCAACAACTGTGCAGCTCTTTCTTGTGACGTTTACAGGTTTAAACAGGCTTTGGCACTATTTTCCTCACGGTGGACGGATAACAACTCTGAGGAAGACCGCTTGCGATCGTCACTGTCAAATATGAAAAGAAACTAAACCTTGCTCTGAAAAAGAATATATTAAAATGAAGCCAAATGAACCTCTTTGAACTGAATAACTACTTCCTGCACAAAAACTAAGTGTAATATCGGTTATGTTGGATTGCAGGTAAACCACAAAATTATGCAAGTATAATGGTGGTGATTTCCAGAAAATATTGACATTTTCGTCTGACACTAAAAGGTACAATTTTATAAGCTCTGAACATTCACACCTCAGCAGGAAGCGTTGGCATGCTTCAGGAAACACGTACTGGCTTCTTGTCTTTCACATGTTTAAGATTCAATTTGCCACCAGCGAATCAATCTGTGATCTTAATATGCATGGATTCTGCAACAGGGAAGACTCTGCACTGTCAACCAGCCCTTAAAAAGCCATTTCCACTGAGCGCAGTCTCTTTAAGCCTATTTGAGAAGAGTAATGTTTATAAATGAGGGCCCAGGCATAGTCTGGGATAATAGACTATTCAGCAGTGAACAAGGTGCAGGTGATAAGCAACGCGCTAAAGCTAATGTGTGCGCTAATGATAGCACAGGGACTATAGTGTGAAAGTGTATCTCACAGATCCGTGCTCTACAGACACGGTTCATCTGATCTGAGTATGTGCCACTACTGTGTATAGGCATATTTTAAAGCTGCTCTGTGGAACTTTTCAGGCCATGGAGATGTAATTGTTTAGCAGTTATTTATATTTCACAGTTTAGACAAGCTTTAATGATCCACAAGGGGAATGTTTGGGAAAGATTTTCTCATTGCTAAAAAAAACGAGTTGGATGATTGATTCCTGCATGCTGTAATTGTGTCCTTAGGCAAGACACTAAACCCACATTGCCCATTATGAAAGAGGTGTGTGAGTGTTGGCTGATGCAGCAGATTGGCAGCCTCGCTTCAGTCAGTCTCTATAATAAATTTTGATCAGCACCTATGGCACTTCTTGACTAGTGAATTTCATGTCAAGTAAAAATATGACTCAATTCATATTAAAGGTGCATTGTGTGATTTTTCTGGTGGAGGATCCATCAAATGCTTTTCTTAATGTTATGGCTTTGTCTGGAATGTTTCACAGTATGACCACAGACCCTATATATGAGTGGACATAGCTGACGCACGAGCTGCCGCGTGCCAAACTGGAAGTGCACCAGAAGGCTCTTCCGGCACCTTCTGATTCTGGCTCCAATTGACTTACATTGGGATCTTGTCATCCTTCTCTCTGTAACTGCTGCTACGAGCCTCGTCATTTTGGTCTTAAAATTTTCATATTAACTAGCTCTACTTTTTTTTTTTCTTTTATCCATCAAAAAATCCTATTCAAAACATAGCGCCCGGCTCCAGATTCGCTCATGTAACCGTTAACATTGCGAGCCTCATTTGAGCGGTGCTGAACTCTATGGGTGACATCACACTCACTTAGTCCACTTCTTTTATACAGTCTATGGGTATGACCTAAATCTTCATGGAGACCAAAGTCCAAGTTACAGGTCACATCTGCAGAGAGAAAACCGTGTTCACAGTCAAAGTGCCTGTTTTTCTAGGTATTTTTGAGCTATAAAACTGCCTATACTTGAATAAATGTAAGGTAGAGCTGTTTAATGTCATACTCTGGACGTGCACCTTTAATAAAGTTCATTAATCTCACAATTGAAAAGTTCCAGTGTCTTCTGTCTCATCTCGCCACACTGCCCCCTATTGAACTTTTTCCTCTGCAGTATTGGGTGCTAATGGTCTGTTCCTTGTTGCCTGAGGTTAGACAGAGTAAATATAGCACACAGCCTGGATACTCTGACCCAAATCTCAGAAATATCTCCTACTGAGGCTGGGCCAGTTCAGATCTGGGTCTGTGGTACAGCAAAAAGGAGAGATGTCTGCGTATGTAAACCAACTGTGTCTAAGCGTCTCACTGGGTCTTTATCAATGAGGTCATCATGTTCATCGTTCACATTTTCCATACTATTATGTGATCAAAATATAGATAGCAGTATATAGGGTTTT